ATTTTTGTCTCTACATCGGTCATTGACCATCGTGCTATCATTATCTGTTCATCTGCCAATATAATATTTTAGAGATGATAAACATAAATTATATTTCCTGAATCAAACTGCACCTTAACAAAATCTACGAAGAATATAACAGTTTTCCAAACACCTAATCTTGGAAATCAATAGCGTAAAGTGTAAAGTTTGATTCGGGTATGAAAAAAAGAACAAAAGGTATTTAATTGCTTGAAATGTTTTTTGCTATATCAAAATGCTTAGGAGCATAATAGATAAAATTCTGCACTAAATCTTTGATCAGTCTTTGTGGTACTTAGCGACAATTATATAATAATTTTATTACCTATTAGTTACAACAAAATCGATTATTAAAATTCCATAATTATTATAGTTAAATTCCATTCATGTGATTTCTTATCGTCCTGCATAATTTGATAATACAAATATTTGAATTCCTTTCATAAACAATATAAAAAAAAAACAAAATTATGTAATCTATAGGTAATTCTTCGATTCCACATGGAATTATTGCTTTTTCGTATCGGTTCTTGCCATACTCGGGTCTAAGGAAACATATTGAAAAAAAAACATCGAATTACTAAACGTCTCTCTGAGTGTCTTTCATGATTTCATCTCTTTAAGGAAACACTTAAGGAAAAATTTGTTAAATACGTTTGCGTATTTAACGAAGACGTTGGTAACGTTGTTGTTTTTTAACGTCACTTGAAAGGTTATACTATTCGATTGACGAATTTGATTTTTTGCCGCAGAAGTCTCAATATTGGCACATGTGCTCCAGAGTCCGGGATCTGCACGGGGCATGGAATGGATTATCACATGAGATTGAAAACGTCATAGCATCGTAACGGGTGAATTGTACGTTTAGATAATAACTTAACATCTCTATCAATTTGGAAAACAAAATGAAATCTTCAAAAAATAAGTTCGATCGATCACTTAAAATGTATTTCATACGAGGCACTTGGGGTGTATAATAATATGCTAATTGCAATAATAAAAAAATATCGTCGATTGACGTATGCGTTATGTACACTTCAAAAACATATGTGGACTATATTTACTGGGTATATAAAAAAAATAATGGAAATTTGTGACGTTCTGTAGTATGATCGCCATTATTTGTATGATGTTTGTTTACTTGCCAAAGTGTCATTAGTTCACTACAATGACGCTACGTAGGCATTATAAGTAGGAAGTACATACCTAAGTAAGTAGGTACATATATTTTGTATAAATCTCGATCACTCTTTTACAGTTTTGTCATGTCTATGTATTTTTTACTAAATAAAACAATATTTTAATCACAGAACACCACCTCAACTAATTTATATTGACTTCTCCGAGTTAACGTAAGATAAGATTACGTTTACCCAGTTCGAACCAACAAGTCTCCGTTTTCCAATCTTTTATAGTCGAGAGTAGTCATCACACCCCCTTTTCTTTCATCTCATTTTCCACAGCAAGCATGAGTTCTTTTAAAAATATCGCCTCATGTGCCTAGGTCAAATCTACTTTTAATAGAAATTAATTTTCTATTTCAATAAAATTGCCCTAACATACATATGTGCCGAGAAAATATAACTCATTAGGCGCCTAATATTTGTTAATCTTTGAGAGAAAATTCTACGCAATATTATTATGATGAACTCAGCCGTTCAATCTCTGAATCTGAAATTACGTGGCCGAATAATTTGAGTTCAGTACGCGTAACAAAACATACCATGAATTTATTTGTATGTTTATTTAGATAAAATGAGATACTAACTACTAAATTGTTTGTTTAACTACAACTCTGTGTAAACAATAGCGAATTTTTTTATTGTCCAGCCTTTATTTTAATTAGTGGGCGCAGCTAAATATTACTTAGGTAGGTACGTTACGTTTTTGAAATATAAAAGTGCTTGGTAGACAATATTGTTTGGTCTAAAAGTACCTAATGAAATAATGCCTTTAGTTACAAGCTTTTTTAGGGCTTGCTCGTTGCATCTGAATTCTAAATTTCGTAGCGCTCAGCTACGCTGTTTTGTATTCTATTTAATTTTCGTACATTTATGTGGAAATGCAATTAGCCTTTAAGTTGTAGGTAATAGAATGTTGTTCAGCGTTGATTTTTTTTTTTGCTTGCCATATTAGTTGCATGAGCGACTCCTTGTTTGTTTGATACTTTGTTTCGCGTTACGAAATATCTACTAACTGATAGAGTTGTTTGATAATTCGACATTTTTATCAGTGATATCTCTTTTCCTGGTTTTTCTGTAACTACAAGTTAAGTTCCTCGAATCCTGTAACTATCTTCTTAGAACTGTATTCGTCTTTATCAAATGCGAAAAGATTATTTCCCCATCTACTAAATAAATATAATAAATACCAAATTATGCAAATGTAAACTAACTTTAGACAGTAAGTAAATATTTGCAAAATCATAAATATTTTTCTAGTCTAGATTTGGTTCTCATATTTTAAAAGTGCACCTAGTAGATGCTTAGTATCTACTTTGTAGCCACAATCGCGTTGCGTCGAAGGAAAACCTCGAGGGCCAATCGGAAGGAAGCTAGAGCAATCGAATATATACGTGTTCTACATACTAGTTGATAATAAATAATAGATTAGATATATTATGTATAATGTACCTCCGCACAGCTGACCGACAATTGTGACACGCGGGAGGTGTTTCAGATAATGTTTTGATATTATCTATTCGTAAAGGTCATATGCTTCTAGCCTTCGTGTTGATACTTTAGAAATGTAAAAGATAGTATTTATCTCAATAAATCGTGTAAATTCGGCCTACTGTTATAATTTTATAATTCTCTCTACTACCTAGTAGGTCTGTTTCTACAGATGAATTTTCACGGTGGCAGGTACCTGTGATATCAATATTAAACAAATCGCGTTGAGTGTTATGTCCGCGTAACTGCATAACATTTTAGGACTAATAATAACATAACAGTCTGATGCAGTCGCTCTAAATGAAATATACTCCAATTCATAATTATTAGCATTTATTCCGGCAAATCTGGCTGACATCAATCCCAAATTAACATTGGAGTAAAAATATAATGAATGAAGTAAAAGTCTCCTAAGCTTTTATTATTTCCGAAAATGAAATTGTACGTGGGTATAGGTCATTTATCTATGTTTATTTATTTATTATAGATAAATACCAATTGGATAGATCTCAGAACGTTTGTGCTTGACAGCCGTATTTGAACAAGAGAATAAAGAAACTTAAAGAAGATCCAGTAGACCATCACAAATGGGACTAACTAGGGCTGATGTCCAGCCGGAGTTGCGGATGCAAATACAATACGAAGTCCGGAGATGGAACGTAGTAGTTTTAGGGTACAATCCTTAACTTAAGAGCGGGAGAAGTTTTTGGACTGCACGGTTGGTGCGGTGGCTGAGCAACTGGCTGCCGTGCAACGTCTCGCGCGTTGGATTCCCGCACGGAATAAGTCTTTGTGTGATCCACAAATTGTTATTCCGGGTCTAAAGTGTCATGTGTTTGTGATATTGTAGGTATGTTTGTAACCGCATCCATGACTTAGCTTAGCTTAGTCTGGGACAACGTTTCTTTAAAAATCTATACTAATATTATAATGAGGTAAAATTTGTAAGTTTGTTTGTAGGGGTAATCTTTGAACCGCTGGTCGGATTTCTAAAATTCTTTCACTGATAGTTAGCTACAATATTCCTGAGTGCTATAGACTATAAAACATCACGCTTCGGTTAAATGGGGAGAGCGAGATTAGCTAGTAATAAATAAAAAAATATTTTTTCCTCCCATCAGTTGACACAGCCTAAATAAAATGTTCCTAATAATAAATTAGCAGCGAATTATTTTTTTACTATTATTTTTATGTAGTTACGAGTTCTTGTCACAATAACTTAAAGAAAAGATTGATTTTCATGGTTATAGGTAAATAAGTACAATCAACACAATGTCAATGTCATTTGTTGACTTGGTCATGAAATCGACACAATTTACGAGTAAGTTTCTACCAACGTTTTAAGTTTGTATGTTGTAGTAAATTATGTTTGTAGAAACAGTTCATTTCACACATGATTTAACATTAAAACTATACAAATTTCTTATCGCAAATTCCTCATTAAATACACTTAGGTGCCCTAGCTTCGGGAAGACTTGTTTTCATATAATCAGCGAGTCAAGTATCTCTTTCAAGTTCCAGAGAAAAGTATGAAAAACAAAAAAGGTATTATACTTAGATCTATTAAAAAATAAAAATACAAACAATATATGTACATTCGCAATAAAAGGTATTGTAAAATACCTTACGCCCTCAATAATAGTATTATTTACTGACGTCATTAATAAGCCATATTATTTAAAACATTTTTTTAATACAATATTATTAAAATCAATGCTAGGAATGTTTAAGGAGACTTGTCAATAACCTCTTAAGATGTAAGGTTAACGGCTTTCGAATACAAGGCTTTGCAGCCATACAAGGAGACTACATCACTATAACTTTAATATAAATAATAAATATTAAAATGTTATATAGGTACACTTTTTATAAAAAAATTGACACGCAGGTAACGCTGTTATTTTGATTTCTTTGTCTGTCAGTTAATTTGAGTTAGTGATTTGTATGTAGTTCTGCTGAATTACTTTAATTGGTTCCCAATCACTACAAGTTAATTACTTAACTATTAGCGCTGTGGAGAAACCTCATTAACTTGTGGAGCAACAGAGCGAGTTATTTTCAATTAAATTTACATATTTCGCGGTGAATTATATTCACGTTCAATAAGTGCCTTAGTTATTTTTTACACATAATTCATTTTTATATTAAACGATTAGCTTTGGCTATGATTTTATTTTTTGTTACTAAATAAAAATATAATAAAAAACATTTAAACAGGTGGTATACCTACTAACAGAAAAAAAATATGATATTGACAAAGATGTTTATTTATTTTTTATAAGCTGTTCTTATAGTGAAGTGACTTACCGGAACGAGTATCGACGCGAAGTAGTTGTCACAGCGGAGTGCGCAGGAGTGTATTACGCGCAGGTTCACAGGTGACTGCAGCGGACTGTCGGCGCTCGCGCACTTATTCAGACACAAAAACACCGCCCTATGCGTTAACAATAACAATCTGTTTTCTCAGTGCGATGCCTAAACAATTCTTCAGTAGGTTACTACTGTGTCCAAGGGAGGTGTCGCTACAGGCGTTGCGCTGGGGACCCGGGTAGATGCGAGTAGTAGCCTATGGGGAGGTTTTAATGTGGCAAAAATCTTTGAATCTTTCTCTCCAAAAACCAAGGCGAGTTATTAATTAAGGATTTACCCCCGAAATTAAAAAAGGTACTAGGGGTAGGTGGTGGTAGGGGTAGGTACTAGGGGTAGGTGGTGGTAGGGGTAGGTACTAGGTAGGTAGGTACCTACATTATCAGGCTGATTCCTTCCACTACTGGACATAGGCCTCCCCAACTGCACGCCATTGAGATCGATGTTCAGCTCTTCTAGCCCAACTACTGCCAGCTACCCTGCGGATATTATCAGTCCACCTAGCTAGAGTAAAGTTTGCCTACCCCAACGGTCATCGGATTTTCGACAATCGTGACCACTGCCACTTCAATTTGCTTATCTCTTGGGCTATGTCGACAACTGTAGTTCTCTGTCGGAACACCTCCTGCAATGCAAGTAAACTCCCGTCATATAAGTTCCAAAAAAATTATAGGAACCATACGACGTCTGAGAGCGATGACAACAAAACTAATTTCCTACATCATCAAGGTAGGTACCTATCTCTCAATTTATTCATGATTGCAGAATAGAATTAAGTCCTCTGTACCTATTGTACAAATCGCAGTGCCACTATACCTTTACCACCTTTAGTGGGAAGGTCAATTTTCAGGTGAATATCTACTTGGTATCTTCAGAAGTTCAGTGGTAGCCACTGCCACTGCTACACTGCGGCTGTCATGGGCGGGAACATAATTTTAGGTACGGTACCGCACTCTTACTTAGATATTTCGGTTGACGTTTGTATATTTTCCTGTTGAGGTTCTCATATAAGTGCTTTACATTCAAGATACCATTTAAATCAACAGCCCGACTTCCAAACAAGGCTGATGTTCAGCCGGGTTGCGGGGCAGGCGTAAGTAGGTAAGTAAGTACCGCAGCCTCGGCCTAGAGTAGGAAAAATTACGGAGGCTTTTTTAGTCAGTAAGAGTCTGCCACTCCGTCTTTCCTCAAAAGTCTTTCCTGGGCGAAAGAAGCCACTTGCTGATTTTGCCCACTCAAAAGAGCACAAACATAAATTTGCTTATGAAAATTGGTCTTCCTTTGCTCAGCTGTCAGACAATTGCAGGCTGATACAATTGATATTTACACGATACCATTTATTTTACACATACAAGCACAATTTCAGCGCTATTATTGACTGTAAAGAAATGTAAGCAACTGTTTATACGTAACTATCGAATAAAATTCTTTTAGAAATTATGATTGTAAGCGTTTATTCGTAATTGTGTAAATTTTACACCAATAGTCATGTTTGGAAAATTATCGCTTTCAAGATTTTAGGTGTCTTAAAACAGGCTTGTATGAGAATACCTACTTACAAATAGAAAATTTCATACTTAGGTATACATTAAGCCAGTCAGTAATTAATTAAAGCAACAATTCACGCATTCATGTTCTAAACAATGCGTATGGTATCGTCTAAACAAGTCCTAAACTTATCAAGATCAAGAAGTGGTCAAGTGTATTTTCAAAGAAGTGGTACCGTGTACATAAAACTATAAGTATAAAATAACAGTAGATACCTAGTATCTACATGTAGCGTAGATACTGTGATGAGAAATTCATGCAATAAACTTTATTAGGTACTGGAACATACCTACTTATAATGTAGGTACTAATATTGTTTACCTTTGGGGTTTTTAACTTTCTACAGTTACAAATAGTACCTAAGCAGTATACTCACCTACCACAAGTACGGTCCTAAACAAAATAATAGCATTAATCATCTGCAGATTACGAATTATGTCACGCATTGATGATCCTCTTTTTCCCCCTGGTGTGCAAATTAATGTGACGTTTTAGGGATATCCATTATTTCAATTCTCCACCACTTTTTCCGCCACAATAGAAATGTTGAAAACACGTGTACGAACTCTAAAACACGTAGGTTTTGGTGACGTCAGGGAAAACATTTCAAAGGATAAATCGGAGAAAAAAAATTGAGTATAACTAAATTTCCTGAAATATTTTATTATTTACTATGATCCTCATTTAGGGTGTCTTCCAGGTGGGACTTCCTGGTGAGTGACAATGTGTGTAATGTATGAGTTGAATGGCGATTTAGGAAATATCAAACTATCATCATACTTAGCTCGACACGTGTTGTTATGGAGATCTCACTAAAAAATAAAATGGTACTAAGATATTTTTTCTAAAATTCTATTGTGCCTTTTCAAAATGACCATAAAACAAGTTTGGTTAGGCTTGTTGTACAAAACGGCCGCAGTAAAAGAATTAGCAAACTGAAGTGGCAATGGGCAGGACACATTTGTCGAATAAGCGATCCATTAAAGTAGATGTATTCTAAAGTGAAGACCAATATTTCTTGAAAGCTATAAGATTTACATAATTTAAATTGTGTTGAATGAACAAAAAGCTTCGTAATCAACGTCTTAAAATAATAAACCACATATTAACTGTAGCCCTTTTGGAGTCTCTTTCTTGCCTTACTACTAACTGTAGAAGTTCATTTGGAGTTCTCTTGACGGGTAAAAAGGTTGACTTACATGAAACTGCTCAGAAGTATCACTTCAGACGAACCTAAGCGATTTACTCATTTATAATGTTACAGCGTATTGAAATCGTCTAATTTCAAAACAAGACGTAATAAAGTTGTTCGATATACTAGGAGACTTACTAGTAAATAACGAAAATTCATCTAAACTCAAATGCAGAGTATTGTGATGTAGTGTTTAGTATTGTGAAATGTGAAGAAGTGTGAGGGAAAGAGAATTTTCTTAGAAATCATGATTATTTTGCTATATCCAGCAAATAAAAGTTGCAAACACTTAATTATTCGTTTTATTCCTTAAGATAAAGTAAATTTATCGAAACACACAAATAATGGTTGAAAAGGTGCGGCAACCACCTATAAAGGATACTTATATCTATGCATGCATGCCCAAGTATATAAATTTCCTATTAATAATAGATTTACAAAACATTGCAATATATAAGACAGTATAATGACAAAATTTGAGAAGACTATATTTTACAAGAGATTTAGGCTTTTTCTACAAGTAGAAACATTCCTAGTTCCAGTACGCAGTAATTAAATTAAACGAAAATGCTTGTTTAAGTATTGGTTGAATAATTTCAAATAATTTCAAATTATTGTTGGTTGGTTGAATAATTTCAAATTATTCAAGAGCTACGGTTTTTACGAATATTTTAGTTGTAGCGCTAGATAGTTCCACACCTACTCTGAAGATGGCGATTAATATAAATCAAATAAACATGAAATCCTAACTAGAATAATTTCAATTCATATGAATATGTATATATGATCTTGCAAAATAGTACAACTAGTTCAGAGCACGGCGGCACTCAGTTAAGAGGTTAATTTATGATTCCTTTTTTCTGAATGGACGTAGTTGTCTAATAAGCGCGTCTGGCTGATTTAAGTGAGTACTAAACAGGAAACTTGGCATTACAGCACCATTACAGAGTCGCGGCGTGAGGTAATCCCGGCACTCGCCGACACCCCGACACCGGCCGCCTCGCCTCGCCACACTCGCATCTGTTTGCGGTAAATGTTATACGTATATCGCGTCCCTCACTATTATCCTACTACATAATTTACATACTGTTCAATTTATTACAAAAAATGTTTCATTATCAGTTAAGTATTTAAGTAATATAGCATTTCAATCATTATAATTACACTACCAGTTTATATTGTGGCTAATAGATCCATTATTTGATTAGAACATCAATATCTGTTTAACATCAAAAGTCCGATATACACTTTATTAATATCCAACAAAAACACAACAAAGCAAATCTGTATAATACTTTAATCTTATAAGGAATTAGCACTTTATGAAGTACAATAGTTTTATGATCTGTACTGTAATATAAAATAAACAATTTAAATACACTTAAGAATTAGTCCATGAAATCTGCATCGTCTGACAGGTCCTGAAACAAAACGAAAGTATGAGAACATGCGATTCGAAGCAAATACCTCCTACATACATCACAACGGAGCGTGTATATTATTTTAATTCGCTCTCTAAAATCTACAATAACCCTGAGCGCACCAAAATAAAAAAAAAATTACTCTCTAAACTTGAGATTGTCACAAATTGTAGGGTAGCATCTGCAAGAACAAACATACACGCACTATGGGCAATAGCAGCTCTACTATGCGACGTTTTTACACATTTAAGTACATGGTATCACCGCTGCTGGTGCGGCTGCCCTATCAATATATTTTTAAGAAAGCCAGAGAACTAGCAGGAGCAAACAATACATGTATTAAATGTGTAAGTTTCAACTATTGAGTTTTATTGTTTACGACAATAGTGGCCCTTGCATCATGAATAAAAAGAAAAAGCTGTATGCAACTTCTAACAATAATTAATTCAATATATATCTTTGATATGTCGTAAACGATGCACTTATAGGTAGAATGATGCATTCCAAACTAGATCCTTATTTGGAAATCTTTGTGTATTTACTTGTCTAATACAAATTAGCATGGTCAATATAATGGTCATTCTCGGTACATGTGAGTGGCAATGCCCTAACGACTTCTTGACATCTGGAACGCATACATGAGTACACTACGTCGTTTAGAGGTTCCTTTTCTTATACATATTACTGTAGCGAATATAATAACAAGAAAACTGCTGTTTTCATTTCTTAGATTTATACTTATTTGATCCATTTTGATAATAATCATATAGAATAGTTGGCCGGTACGTGCTTCGCTAGGCAATAAAAAATCGCTCCACCGATTCTGTGCAAAATTCACATAAACCACCTACTTAATAGTCCGTCCATAGCCTAAAGATTAGTTTTGGTTACGTGAGCCTTCTAGAATTTATAAAAAAACAAGTAGCCTTGGCTTTTATATTTCTAGATAGATCAACGTCATTTTCGATGTTTTTAGCAATAGCATTCCTCTGTTATCATAATTGTTTATTTATTAACAATTAATGATTTAACGTGGTATAACAAAGTTTGACTAATTGTTCTAAATCTTAAATATAGGTTTATTGGACAGAAAATTCCACAAATTATTGTGTTTTTGGTATCTTTTGAAACACAATTATGTCTTTGTTCATCTAACGCTTACCACCGGAGACAGGCCTCGCCCGATTCTGGCATCCGGGTGACCCTGCATGCTGTGAGAACCACGGACAGCACTCCTTGAGCGTGTGCTATGCCTAATTTAGGTCACCTCTGCAGAACTCACCGAAGTAACTACATACATTCGATCAGTACCTGATTGAGATTAAGGGAGACGCGCCGTTTCATAGGCTTTCGCGCTCATTTTTACCAGGATTTTACCCTCGGCTATGACATTGTGGGGACTCATAACTACCTTAATAGTCGCTGCCTCAAAGAGGTCGGTATCATCGTGGGATTAGTTCTCTTTGTACAATTGTCAGATACCCCATAGACCTACTAGCACCTTATAGGACCTTCGATTACACGACACCTACTATTTTCGCGAACCATTTTTTGTATGTCAGCAGGCCTCTGCTCAACCTGGAGTACATGCCGTTTGAACAGCGACTAATCCCTCGGCATAGCAGAACATAGGAGATGGGTCATTTCACCGACCGTCGTCGGTTAGCTATGTACGTCTGCGACATAAAAACCATGCAGCAGCAGGACGCACGAAACTATAGAATAGACCCATCATTTACGCGAAGCCTTCCTCGCTTGATAAATGGCAATTATAATCTACTTTAAAAAGACAAGCCACAAAAACCAGTTATTTTTCGACACATATAACTAGCAGACCAAGCGATATCCGTACCGTCTCAAATATAACAAAAAGGTGAGAACCTTTTAAACCTTCTCTGGATTTCAACAAATATTTTAAGACCAAATTATCCATAACGGTCCAGCAGTTCTCGAGTTTTAACGAAACTAACCAACAGCATCATCATATATATCATTTTTATATTATAAAAGATTGCTTCAGAAGATACCAAAATTGTGTAATGTGTAATAAATTCTTCAATAACGATATTATTCTAGCAATCGTTTTATAGACTAAGGGCATGTTTCACTTTATCCGAATATAGAAACATTATCTGTATGAACTATCTGCCACATACATTCATCGGGTACTTATAGGAAGGTGGTGAAATGGGCACTACACATTTTTACCCAATTATTCTTCAGTTCATGTTTTTGTATTTTAAGTAGCCTGTAGCCTAAAAGGCGACGGCATCCCATTCGATATTTTTTTTATTTTGTTGTTAAAATTGGTGATGGCCCGGAGGTAGACGCGCCTATTTCTCATATTCATGCGCGCGGCGCAAGTAACCCTGCAAGTTCCGACTTAACAACGAAACGAAGACGAAACTTTTCTCGAGTCAGTTTCAATTACTATTCATTAGTTTGAAATCGTCAATCCGTATTGTGCTAGGGACCATCTTAGCACAATACGGATTGCTTAACCCTTCTCCGTGTAGGAAGAGGTGTTTTATTAGCAGCAATAGCAATTTATACCTATGCTGATGACGATGTTCATGCGAAATTTTCGTTACTGTGCTTCTCATTCTATTGTAGACCTTTCTTTCTTAACCCAATAAACAATAGCCACACGAAGTGAATTGAAAGCTAAGTTAATGAGATTAGAACCCTAATATCTGTCGTATAATTTGACTTTTGTCTTCCATTGCCATTTCCTAGTACTATTGCGTACTATATAATATGTAGAGCGGTTAACAAAAATAAAAGAAGGTACTTACTCAAAGTAGTACCTATACTTTGCGGCAGCAAAAGTCAAAGTCAAGTCACTCAAGTTTGTCTTACAAACTCCCTAACTACACATAAACACAGCAGTATGTTCTCAGAAAATATATTGATAGGAAACATAAATAATAAATATAGGACTGTGTTGGTGCAGCTAGGTGACGCTGGGCACAGTCTCGTACGCTCGAGTGTAACATACCACACTGTCGGCCGTGCTGTCGAGGACAATGTCGTCAATCTCCCGCTCTAGTTCCTCCATGATGTCCAGAGAGTCGTGCCGTTTCTTCTGGCCCCGCTGCGCCGCGGTGGTATCGTCCGGCACTGTGCTATCCGGCACCATACGGGAAGGACTGCAACACACATAAGTTGTTTTGAAAGGAGTTGTTTCTCATGTCAACTAAACCATACAGGTACTTTTGAAATGTCGAAATAAAATATAGTCTGGCAGTCAGTTCGAAACTAGGTACTAGTACTCGTCCCAAAGTTTAGATTTGAATGGAGAAGAATGAGCAAAAAACTCAATAATCTTCATCTTATTCTCTAAATACATGTTCCTTGGTAAATTATAACTAAATTGCCTCGTTAATAAAAAGGCATATCAGAGGCAGGCGCTAAAGCTGAAGTCTAGCCAGGTTATTTATACCTTTATACCTTATAAAGATTATGAAACAGGCTCTCTAAGCCTGTATTTAGATACAGGCTTTGAAAGCCTGTAAATTTTATTAGACTAACAACTTAATTAGTTAAGTTGTTATCACCTTTACTGACATAAAATGTATGTTCCAACACCTTCACATAAGCACAGTAATTCATTAATAAGACATTCTAAATTGTTATTTCGTTGAAAAATTTTGTTTTTAATAGAAAACTAAAATACATATCAGTCCAATGCTTTTATAAAATTAACTATCAATGAGTTCAGTAGGACAAAAAATCCTCCACTGCTTCGTACCATGATATACAAGACATAAATACTTTATTTAACATATTGGACGCCATGGCGGACTCCTAATTGGAATGGTATTGTTTATAAACACTGACCTATCATCGCTTGTAACTCGAGCTTCAGGTTCAGCATCATTTGAGCTGTGTGCTTGAGCCCGCACCACGTCTGCGGAGCTCAGCTTGAAGCCACGCTGCTCGGCCTCCTCCATCTCCGTGGCAAGGTTACGCTCAAGGTTGCAAGTCTTCGAGTCGACCGGCAAGTTCGCCAGCAAGCAACTCTGCTCATACCCATACTCGCGCTGAAATCTCTCCAGTACTAATGATTGCTGAAAAAACAACAAATATAGTTTTTATAATAAAATTAATTACAATACGTAATTAGGTCTATTTAGGTAACTTTTGTTTTTGTACCTTCAAATGCCTTTCTTTAGGCGTATTCTAGAATCTGTCTCAGAACTCAATTACATGGTAATTGAGTCAAAAATTTCGGCATGAAATAATACGACACGAGCAATTTCAGCAATACTTATAACTACAGGGTGGGTGAGAGTTCAACTCCGAAAACTGAAAGTTTTTTGTCTGGGTCTGGGTGTCATATCTATGTGGAACTGTGTGTTTGTTAAACACATTCAGACAACTGGGTACAATAGGTAGAGCTGGAAAATTTTAGATAAAATGTTTTAGGATTTCGAACGATAATTTATCAATTTACATCCCTTTTTATCCATGCCGACATGTTCATATAAAATTCAACATTAATAATTATTAATATAATATTATTGGAAAGGAGATATTATCTTACCGCGAACTCAGGGAATAGGTTTTCGTACTGCTCTGGGTCGGCGAGGGATTGGCCGAGCTTCTTGTTGCTGGCGCTAGTGGATTCGCGCCATAATTTCACCACTTCTGACATCTTTGATGGAATGTATGATCTGAAACATAAAGCAATCAACTTGATTGTTGTCTCAAATTATTGAGAGAGAATCATAATCAAACATTACATTGAAAAAAATGCAATATTGTTAAAATATGTTAATGGTAAACATTCGAATATTTCCAGTGTATGGTTGTTACCTGGCAAAGAAGGCGGCTTCGGGCAGCTTGTCTCGCTGTATAAGTAGGTTGAGACAGGATTCGAGATCATTCAGCATAAAGTAGGCCACAAATGAGATGTTCTCAGCGCCTTCTTCCGAGGACATCTGTGCTACGGTCTTCAGCAGCTCTTTGTCACCTGAAATAACGTAATAATGAATAACAAATACAATAGTAATAAACTAATGAGGTTAATCAGCGAAGTATTATTTCATGATTTCAAAACTTTCGAGCTGTTCTGAGAACCAACACTCGAGCAAGACCCTTCCATTTATTAGCGGTCTTCTAATTACAAGCACAATAATTTATCTTACATCATAATAACTATGACCTGCTTAAAGCTTACCAGTGCTAGCTGCGAATAGAAGGAGAGCGCTGTAGTCCTTAGCACTTTGATAGCAGGTCTTGGTGAGCTCCGTGTCAGCGGCAGCGGCGGCGGCAGCCCCCAGCCGAGACCACCGTGCCGCTGAGGACCTGGATGGCGAACCCTCGGCTACTGCAGCTTCTTCGGCTAACTGCTTCGCTCTCCGGAGCTCGCCTAGTGAAAGGGCCAGCTCGAACTGATGTTCAGGCTCGGTGGATACTGCTAGAGCTTGTTGTTTGAAGCCCTGCAAAAAAAATATTCTCATTTATTTGTGTACACAGTCACCACACGTATAATAACATAGCGAGAGGGCTCAGGCTGATGTATCTGTTTATATTGTAACACATAAGGTTGTGTATTTACTTGTTTCTCTAGGAAGTGGGCGACTCTGGTGCGATGCTCTTGGGGAATGGTGGGCAGCACACGGTCAGCTGACTCGAAGTCTGCGCGCATCACCGCCGTCTGGTACTCCAGTACCGACAGCAGCAGCGAGTACGACACTATGTTCAACTCCTTGTCATTTAGGTACAATCTGGAAATAACAATAAAGTGCAATGAAATCACAAGTTACTGGTAGACTATATTTTATGGCTTTCTACTATTAAATTGGTTCAAAACTTAGCATGTGATTCAAACATAAAAAGTGGGATCATATTCAGATGGAGTAAGCGCTACAGGAAATCATTTCGAAAAACTTTCCTGTATACAGTCGGTTCTTCTGACTTCTGACCTGTTCTGAAGGGAAGTCTGGCATAAAAAATGTACCATAAATGAATGCATACCTGTTCTCCTTGGCGACGTATCCAAGGATGTACATAGTGTGATCCAAATGAGATATGGTGACGATCTCGCCACCGACGTAGTAGTTTATTCTGTTCACGGAATTCGTGTAGATGAAGCAGTCGCCCACCCATAGTCCTGTCTTTACAACCTCGTTCACTGCACCTACGACCTGAAGGTGGAAAAGCATAATACGTTATTTTATTCCTAGAATTAAGATATTTTGATAATAAAACATTTGGCTGTTTAGAATGCGTAATAATGACCAGATACTTCACAAAGGCAGCCTAATGTCCTTTCGATTTCAATCATAGTGCTTGTCTCTCAATCTAGAATATGACGATATCCAGTGCACAATAGTACATTTTTTACATACTATCTCCTATATTATTTATTTATCGACCTACATGCCACAATCATTACAAGAATTCAACACCAATAGAATAGCGTATGCCAATATTTATAAAATACAATACCAATATATATATAAGGTAGGATAACAATTGACAATCATTGCCCAACCATTTATTACTTTATTCTGTATATATTCCATCTATTTTGTCTATTCGAACATATATATTTTTAACTAAAGCCAATTTCATTGTATCATTAAAGTAATTAAGTTGCACGTAAAAGTACTTAAATACGACTCCTGTATCCTTTCAAGTCTCAAATAACATATAATTTATTAGACTCCTTTCACGAAAAGGCGTCGAGCCGTTGTATGCTTGTTCAATGTTTTATCGTATATTTGTGTTTTCGGCGTTACGCAACTGATGATAAGCGACGCATTTTTCATCAAATGAGTATCGACCCTTACTCTGCAAAGGCATAAGAACTATATATATCCGGCCAATATAAAAATGAGAGCCCTCTACAGTCAAATACACTCTTCCAGCTTAATCGCGGCAACTCAATCATAATTATCGTATGCAATGTAAGTTAAAAACTATAAATAAATATTTAAACCTTGCGCAAGTAACGTTTTATATTCGTAGCCTTATCTGTAACAACGCGGTTATCGTGCCGACATAAATTTGAATACATACATTAGACATTTAAACTTTTTACTGAACAACTTACACTGGACTGATTAGAAAATATCATTAATTGTACGTACGTAAATATATGCATGCACGAGACTAATAGACAATAGTTCGACTCTAAGACTTACGTTTAAAACTCTGTGAATTGGGTAGTTACCTAGGTCAAAAATAAGTTAATTCGATGTTTCAATACTATAAAATATTGAAAAATAACTATACTTTTATTCATCGATCGATCGATACACCAAGTTTTAGATTTTTTTAGCTAATTATTGTGAAATAAGTAAGCTATTTGACGCAAAAATGTTATGACGTCATAGCTCAGTTTTTCATACAAATTTCATAGAAATGTATCGTTTTTGACGTTTGGATAAAAGTATTGAATTTGGAAACTACCGTATTGCAACAATTGTCCCGAATATTATAAGCGTTTGTTCAAATAAAATTATACCGAATAACGAGCTATTCTTCACTGAATAATAAGCCAATTTTATAAGATAACTAACAAACTGCCTACCACACTAGATACCGACGTATGAATAACAATTAAAATTAATTTAACCCGTTGATTAATAATTGGTTGATAACAGTCTTTTACGCCAACTTCAAACTCTACTTATCAGAAAACATAGCACTTTTTCCTTGCATCAATAACATTGAAAATGTTAAATTGTTTATCTTTATGTGCCGCATGATCTCGAATTGACAACATTAGTCATACTATTTTATACTAGTTTTAGTTACAAATATGAATAATTCAGAACCGAAAGATAGATTCGTCAACAGCCCTAACCTGATGGCTTAATGTGTATGTCTAACCAGTTTTAACTAACTGCCAAATCAAAAACACCCTCCATCAATGAGGTATGCCCAAAAGGTTTTAGTGTACCCTTGCCCTTGTTGACCGATATTATTTTTAATTCATTTGAAACAACATTTTAATCGTTTCCTCTGATATTAATTATGGACTTACCTCAAAAGCGTCTTCAATGCCGTCTTCTGTGATGTTGGAGTTGGTTTCGCGAGCTCGTGTCACCACAGCTGCGTTATACTTGAGTACGTAGTATGAGTCGTCAGTTGCCAGGCACACCAAGTTGCCGCTCTCAGACCAATACACGTGGCGAGGCTGGATCTCAATCCTGGACAACGAGACAACTGATTTAAAGCACGGTACGGGAATCAACAAAGATACTGCCTATGGACCGCCCTTATTCAATTATCGATATATTCTTTAATCACATCATCATCATTTTTATGGTTTATTCCATTTGATTCGCCTATGTGCTAGCATTCAAGCAGCCAAGCACCACATTAATTAGTCACCTATGTATGTAAAAAATCGCCTTGGTGAACCTTAGTTAGTTAAACCCCTGAGGGACTAATAACACTACTTGACTGGACTCATTTCACCAATAAGCACAAAGTAGAATGAGCCTAATATCTTGAGAATATGGATTAAAAGCCTCGACTTCGCCATAATAAATTATTTGAGGGAACACGTGTATAAACAATATTCGCTAGGTATATAAACAGTTGTTCGACAATGCAATGCGTTTAATGTTTACAGATAGCTGTAGATATAGGCCAAGTTTGAAGAAGCTGGTTTGATACCAAATGCAATAGCAATTGTAAAGTGTTGGTAATGAAATTCTTAGAAGATAGGATAGCCAGGGTATACATAGCATGAGCATCATAGAAAATATGTATTTTAAAATTATAAAATTTAATATTAGTATAATTATTCCCTCTTAACAACACTAACGTTATCTTGGAAGATCTCAAAGTTAGTTTCTTTGCTACATTACCACAGTTATTAATGTTGTAAATTCAAAATTAACTTTAACACATAATCTTGATCGATTTTGATAGATTTTGGCCTGATTATATTTATGGTACCGCCGGCTATAAAACTGTAATTTTAGTTAAATTTTTAGTCTAATCTATAAAAACGCAAGCAAAACTAGGCAATGCGGCAAAAGCTAATTGGGTGGTTCTGTTCTTTCGAATTCTGAGAGAAGATAGGTACAATAAGATTGTTTTAGTAGGTTGTATCTTCATTACCAAATAGCAAACTGACAAACAATTCGATATCAGAATTGAACTACCTTTTTCAACTGGTAAGTATGATATTGATTAATTTAGATGGAATGCCTTTTATGTTTAGTATTATTTTATTTAAATCGATATTGTTCTATTGCTACAAAAAATAATGTTACATTGAAGATACATAAATCTCATTGGAAAATAAATAAATATAGATAAAAGCTGCTTTATAAAATACATATTATTTGCGCCTGCTTTATGTCAAGTAGCTAGTGGTTCAAGAATTTCGAAATTCTCAGAGTTTGCTAAAGCCTCGCTAGCAAATATGTAACAATATAAGAATATATATATTAGAATAACATAGAAAGAAAAAAAATAGCAACATTCGCTAAGCATTGCGTAAATTGCCAACATTCGTGATTGGATCAGATTTACTCTATTTGGATTTTTTTTGACGAAAAACTCAAATCGCTAGCTTTAACTTTAAGAGTAACTCTCGACGTTTCGCAATTACAATCGCATGTTTTTAAAAATATATTCGAGAAGAATAGCTTATATTATTCGCAAAGCATGCTTTTATGTTGTGGTGGTTGTTAAACAAGAAGGCTGTAATCCACGTCCCATTTATTTTTTGCATGTCTCCTTAATATTACGCTAGCTAATATCGATCAATATCTTTTTCTGTTGAGTATGTTGATTTACGATTCTTTTTTAATAATTCATTGCATCTCAATGGATGGGTGGACTTAACACTTGTACCATTCTCGAAAAATTAACCATAATATATATTTTGGTGTTGCATAGCATAGCTCATTCACAAGAATCATCTAAGGAGAAACATGTCGCATAGCTTACTGTACAACAATTATAAATATTAGCATTTGTATTTGTCACAAAATACACATATGTATATTTTAATTTTAGAAATAAAACTGTACTTGTCTAAGGTACTTATTTAAGTCAATATTGGGCTGCTTTAAAGATAAAAGTTAATTGCTAAACAGTGAAACTTGTTTTGATGAATGATTTATATCATAATGAGTTCTACAAGTCTTGACCAACAGTTAATGTTATTAAGGTTGTAATCTTACCGTCTGATCAACTCCAGGTTCTCCCAATCGTAGAAAGAGAATGCCACACCGCTAATAGACTTCACACCCAACATGAAACCGCCGTATATACCTTGAAAACAATGGAAATAAGCGATACAAATACATACTTAAATTGTTTTCAAAGACAAGCAAAGTTCTCAATGTCAAGCAAGCAAATTAATTAGGCATTGTTGTCAACCTACTTTCAGCGCCATACTCAGGCTTGAAGCTCTTTCTCTCTTTGAAGTTTTTGAACACCTTTATGGTGCTGGAGTTTTCAAGAGTCGCATATTCCGAGCTATCAAACGCCCAGACGAACTCTTGAGCAGTTCCGAACGCCTTGTTCCTAAGTGCCATAGCCGTGTAAATAATGTACTCGCCATCGCCGCAGACTACCACGAACCGCCCGTTCGGGTTGTGCGCGATAGTTTGAGGGTAAATCTCACAGGAACCCATGTCCTTCGCCATCACTGGGACCCGCTCCCCATCTTTTATCTCTGTGCCTGTAACGTATAACACAACATACAGCAAACTTTCCTCGTAAGTACATAGTTTTCTATTATAGAATAATAAACGGTAACAACCTGACAAGCATGAATTGTTTGCAAATACGTGAACAAAGTGTTTACCTTCTGGCAATGCCTTCAAATTGACTTGCTGCATCTCAGAATGTTTCGCCCAAATAATCTTGCCTCCATTGACGTCCATAGAAATAGCCGGCTCCTCCCGACCCACCTTGATCATGATTGTGCCCTCGTCGTAACTGGCGAGCACAAAAAGAAATACTGGATATGGATTTATAAACAACACAATATTTACAAATATTTCACATTGAACCTGTGATTGTTAAGAGTCTTTTCAAGGTTCATGAGTATAATAATAATTATATTCTAGTGACTTACCCGATGGCCACGTTGTTGGAACCGTGCATAGAAGAAATTGTCCAGACTCTCTCGAAGCCGTAGTTGAGAGAGGATTCAAGTCTGTAAGTGCCTGCGTGCCATATTCTGACTGTGCCGTCCTCTGAGCCAGTCAGTAGGATCGGCAACTCCGGGTGGAACGCCACCACCGTCACATTCTGCGTGTGACCTGTATACAAACCACGTCACAGTGTAAACACTTTACTGGCAATGACCACCTCCATGCCAGACGGTCTCAATAAAGAAATTCAATTGTATTGTGGAAGTTGACAACTACAACTGGATCAATTTAATAGTCCACTTGTAACATGCAATTGCAACAGGGGCTTCTTTGTGATCAAATTTGAATGATAGCTCTTGAGTGCGCCAATTGATTGCATTGATGCACAATCCTGAAGGTCAATATTTGACTGACGCGTTTATAAACTAATACAATATTTATGTATGTCTGGATCACGAAAAGTTTACAAGTATTTTGTTTCACTTACTTTCTAATGTCTGAACACATGTTTTATTCTGGTAATCCCATATTTTGACAAGACGATCGTCGGCACCACTTATGAGGTAGGGCTTGTCTCCACCGTGGTAGTAGTCCACGCAGTTGACCCCTTTCTCGTGGCCTTCTAGAGTGAAGTTGGAAATTGAAGACCCAAGCTGCCATACCTGGTTACGGAAAATAAATAAAAAGTAAGATAATATTCAAAACATTAAGTAATTTGTTTTTAACTAATAAATATAATTCTAGACTTACTTTGACGGTGGTGTCGAGACTAGCACTAGCGAATGTGTTGTTGTCCTTGGGGTTGATAACGATCTGCATCACATAATGTGTGTGGCCCTCGAACACTTGCTGGCATGCCCAGTTGCGATCCCAGTTCCACAGTTTGATCAGTAGATCATCTAAGATCAAGGAATTGATTGAAAATATATGTAATGGCTCAACACAATAACTACAAAATCAAAGTCTTGCTACATTGTTATCTGAATTATTGTTACACCACAATTCACAAAATAAATTAGTTTCAGTTATTGAAACAATTACTATTATTATGAAACTTTAATTAGTTGGCAATTTAAAAAAATGGCATTAGTAATGAATACAACAATATAATGGTTGCTATATTACTATCTCAAAACAACTGGCATAATAATGGTGAAAGTCAATAAAATTATGTATTTTCCAGAATTCACACAAATGGATATATTTATCCTAAATAAGTAAAAGAGCAAATTCATGATTGCATAATGAAAAATTATCTAGCAAAAAGAGCAAGTTAATTATAATAAAAAACAACCAGCTATAGTTTTTTTTCTATTCTATCCTAATAGTATGCTTAAACTGCTGAAGTATGGCTTACCACTGCTGGTGAGGATATAGGGCTGTGTGGGATGTATTGCAATGCACCTCACGTAGTCAGAGTGCGCTTCAAACGCATGCACTCTTTCCAGCGTGTTGTAGTTGAACACGCGGATCTGCATGTCATCGGAGCCAGTAATAACCCAGTTCTTGCGAGGCACGAACTTGGCGGCGCGCACTGGCAGGTCGCATACCTGGATAACATAGTATTAGCTTTAGCACTTCAGTATATAAATAAAATACATGTTTATTTATTTGTTATCTCTTAATTTTAATTTGTCTTCCCGTTTGCAGATAAGAGTTGTTTCATAGTCAAATCCAATAGTTTTATGACAAAGTATAACAGCTAATATCCAACTTCAAAATCTTGTACAATATTAGAGCATAGACACAGCTGAGCACAGTGAGTAAGTTAAGCAAACACTGTCAATATTATGGAGTACAGAGGAAGACATGCTATTTGTTTACAAAATGTCTTTGTGTGAAATGATTGTTACATTTAGTTACTATCATTATTAAATAGGACAAGAAGAAAAGTATGAAGATTTACAACCTTAGTAGGTATGTAATAGTTAATTTTCATGCAAGTCTTAAAATTGATAGTGTTATTTAGAAAAAAAATGCCTATTACTGCTTATCAAAGTCACCCATCCAAAACCAATTAACTGAATTATCATTTGAAAAAAGAACACCCATATTATGAATTATATAAAAGTATAAATACTTACTCCAAAATAGTGAATTAATAGTGATACACTAATATCTACTTATTAATCACAAATGTATCACTCTATTTAAGTAGAAATTTTAACTTATCAATATATCAGATGCTTATCTATTTAATAAAACATGTATTAATTATTAACAACACTCAATGTTTTGATCAGCAGTAAAGTTAGTAATGTGAAGTAATTTTTTCTGAAATTCTATTACATGGCAACATAATCAGCTGTAGCTTAGAAAACTTACAAAGTAGTGAATGAAATTTTTGTTACAGAACCAGATTAGGCAAAGCTCATTAACAGTATGGAAGATTCTTATGTATAATTGTAATTAATTGAAATAACGAAAACATAATATTCAAGACAACTATTTGTTTCTAAAATGTTTCAATTTCACTCCTTTCTCATTGAGTGATTATCATGACATTTTGATTATTCTCTGCCTTCAACCTTGACAGTCCATTACACCGAGGTGCAGCCACATTTTCTATATAATATATTATGTAAGTGACTTGGGAATAAGCTAGTCTTCGTAAAGATACATCATCAACTTGAGTTAGTTGAACACTAGATAATTTTAAAAATGTAAGTTTTTGAGCATTCAGTAATAACAAATTCGAAGTAACTTTTAGTTTTTATGTATTTGTTTTAGAATCTAATAAGATACCTTCTAGCGTGTATCAGAATGGAACATTCAACTTCGACAATTTTAAATCGAAGTATTTTATATCATTGTAAATATAACTAGTAGGTCTGTCTCTAGTATTGACAATTAAATAGAACTGTTAAAGTCACGCTGACTACTTGTTAGACTACAAAGACTGACTACAAGCTGAATAAGATGCCAAGCCAATTAGAACTAGAATAATGTATGACCACCTCATTACCTCAAATCTCTTGATCTGCGAGTGTGTTTCATAGTTCCATATGTTCACGTCACCGTTGTATAGGGAGCACAGGAGCCATGGCTCCGTCGGGTGCTGGTCCACGCACTTGACGCGGTCCGACCTCGCTGTCAACTTCCTCTTGATATCCAAGCGTAACGGCTGTCGGAACATTACAACAGTACACTATAGACAACCCGTACAAAACACAAAAATCACCTATTTCACGCAAATTACATCAACTGGAAGCCGACATTATTCGAATGATGACACACTGCCGACAAATATACAACTACGTGGCGTAAATTTTATCAGCACTCAAACTGATGCGCAAACACAACATTACGTTTATTTTTGTGAATTTAAAGGTGTTCTTACCATTTTTAATAGTTAAAACATGAAAATTTATTATACAGGAACAGGGGAACCGTGGAAGTTTGACAGGGTGGGTGGACGTGTCACTATTTTTTTTTCCTGTGCCAACACACATTTTGAAACACGTCAAACATATTTTATATCGGTAAGTTTCGGTTTTATCTGTTCAATTTAATTCATAACCCCATTTAAAATCAGATAAATAATGTTACTGCCATGTTTGAGAAGATACAATATTAAATTAATATTTCACAACATTTTTTTACCAGGAAATCATTGAAATAAAAAGTGCGGCATAAAAAAATATTGCTACACTAGCGCCATCAATTGTATAATTTTGATGATTGTTTTTACTTGCACGTACCTATGTCGGTTTTGGTAATAACTGATAATACCGTAATAAATCTAGGTAATGTTTAGAATGTTGCGGGCCACTATGTGACAACCACTTGCTTACATTGCAGCAAAACAATATTTTACCTTTAGAAGAAGAATCTCAATACTTCAAGGACGTTTAGTCCGTAGTTTTACCAAAACGTTCCCCAACACCATCCTTTCTTTTGTTATGACTATATTTACAAACTTACAAAAGTCACATTATATTGTACGTCATTTGGGTATGACACCTCGACAATCCCTAAATAAGAAAAAGTTGTTCTGTATGGGAATTGAACCCGCGACACGTTGCATAGCATGCAACAGCCTAGCTAATGCGCAAACCATGCATGCTGGATAAATGATGAGCAATTCATCGTCATCAGCAGCGCCTGTTGCCAACCACTGCTGAATTCATGCTTCTCTATCATATTCCATGACCTCACCTATAACAATGACTATGGTTACATTCCCAATGTATATAGCCATTCATAACAAAATATCACGTAGTTTCCATGTTCCATTTTTTATAATTCGTTTGTATTATTTTTAACAACCTAGTTATACAAAGACGGTATTATGATGAGGACCAATTGGAATGACCCAATTTTGAAATCATGTTTAAGTGTTTGTATCATGAGTCACGTCTGGCGAGTGTTGTCCTTACTTTTAAACTTATCGAAAAGATTGCAATTATGATACCCCAACGATACTAGTGCCGACAGATTTTTATCAAACTTACATAGGTTGCATACCTTGTGTATCTGCACAACTCTACATGGAATAATGCTGCAATTATAATGGGTAGGTACATAAATAGCTGGTTGGTTACTTCGTAGTAGATCTTCGTATAAATAAGAAAACATTAAAATGTACAACTTTTATTACACAGACAAATAAATACCACAACTTTTTTACAGAAAATACTGTTACTGGATATAATTTTCAAAACCACACGATAAACCTTCTGTAATACACAAATTTTACTATTATAATCTTTCAGAATTAACAATGATTGCAAATACAATAAATGGTTCTTATAAAAATCTACTATGCTACATCTGTTGTTATCTTGTTTCAATTTTTATTATCTAATAAACATGAACAGAATGGAAACAGAAATGGTAGGTATGTTGTTACAGTTGTTAATGATTCTAGAACTTGTGGGAGTTTAAGACTGCATGCACATTTTTTTAACACACAGGTTTAATCATCACACATAGCAAAGCTCTTTTATTGAACAACTTATATGAACGAAAAGCAATTTAGTAAATAGAGAACAATTACGAGCTCCATAATCAACGCAGCTATCATTAAAAGTCCAAAATTATACTAATCAATTTAAAAAATGTATTTATAATTTAGTATATTACAGAAGCAAATTTATAATAATTTATTATTGCACATGTGTTTTAGCGCCAATCCACTGTAGCGTTTGATATGGACAGTTAAATTAGCTAGATTGCAACACTAATAGAATAATTATAATGTTTAAAGTAAATAACCAGATTTAATTATTTCATTCTACCTCTCAATACTATCTATCTAGAAAAACTTGAACAGAACAATTTATAGGGCTTAGTGGGTATTGAGCAGCATTGGAGCCAACTTTATAATGCTACTTATTGTAATGCTTAATTATGTACAGCTACTATATCAGCACTATTCTAATGTGTAACAATCACAAAAAGAATCAAACATTATTGGCAATTATATAACAATTAAATGTACATTTTGTATAAGAAATTAATTATGATTAGTTTAACATGCTGTATGAAATTTTATATATAATTAGATCTGTGCAATATTGAAATATTAATTAATTCTTACTTAAATATAAATCATTGCTATACATCTTATAATTAATCATTGCATATTTTGATGTGGTTAAAATTTATCTATAACTTAACATTTTGTTCATGAAACAGTCAGCCACAAACCAATATATAGAGGTAATACATATTACTAATTTTGCTAGGATGCTGAAATAAGACTTCTTTCAGCTGCCAGTAACAGGTTAATTGAGAGGCAGCAGATAATGCTCTAGATATAAAAGAGTAACAATTGGATAAAATATTCACCAAGCTGTGTTAAGTTGGTTGGTTAGTTGTCAAATCCATTTATTAAGTCATTTTAATATCACAGATTGTACGATTTGTCAATACTTTTTTAGAAACCTTAGTCCAAGGGAATATAAAATAGTTACTATGTTATTTGAAGGACTGACTATGGCATCAGACAGCAAAATAATGATTACAATAATATCTATCCTAAAATTATGTTTAAAATTTACATATGTACATTTTTATTTTACATTAATTTTAACTAATAAATAAACATTATAAAATATTTTCTACACATCTCTATATATGGGAATGTGTCAACTTATTTTAACTTACGTATGAATAATTCTAATTGGCTATTTGATTAAGTTTTATTATCTGTAAACTTCAAGAAGAAAAAAGGTCAGGAAATCATCAATGTCAAACTTCATAATTAAGTACAATTATCCAGTAACAAATTGTTACTACAGCATGCGCGTCAACTCAGACGTGTTTGTAAAAACAACGACTAAATGAGCAGCAAGCTTTTTCATGAATATCAATGAAAACAATTCATTGCTAAAAAATGGCAGTCACCAAACAAAGAGGTTCTAAGATGTTTGTGTATGTAGCGACAATGTCTCAAATATGTTTACCCAATGAGGAAGATACAATATATTCGAATTGTTGAACTGATGTAAAATAGTGTCCACTCATATTTGAAACAACACTTGTTAACTGTCTACAGCGTTTTAGAATATTATTTTATAGTCTTACATAAGATAAAAGTTTACTACCTACTCCTTTTTTACATCAGATCACATCAGCAGTAATATAATAATAATAATTACAATAAATAATTATTTATATAAAAATATACATTAAAATAATTGTTTGCCATATTATTATTATTTCAGAGTAATTAAATTCAAGGTCTAACAATAAAACATTCATCCTAAAACAATATGGCTATAAACACTTTTTACTTGCAAACAATAGTCAAGTCAGCACCAAATTCTACATATTTACAGATAAAGCTTAGAATCGATTAACATTTTTAAACTGCTACATACTGGAGCACACATGTAAGGTAAATGGGAACTGTTGGCGGGCCAACAATATTTCTTAAAAATAATCAACCAACAATCAACCAGTATTATAACAACTATTCATTAACAAATTACCAATCTGGACGTTACGGTAATCAAAGCCCAGATATCTCGCGGTCCCGCCACGTTCTTTAACCATATTCCACATGTTCGCCCATTCAACTCAAAAGTTATTTGGTATAGAGAAACCATTCGTGCGCATTATAGCGTCGAGCACAGACAACAGTAATCACATTCAGGGTGTGTAAGAGCACACATTTACTTGAGGTAGCATTTGTATAGCATGACGGAGCGGCTGGTGTCTCGCTCCTGCTCCAATAGGAAGATCATATCGCGCATGTTGATGCGCTTCAGGCGTGTGCGGAGAGCTAGCTGGCTGCGGCCGGCCTGCACAACAGCAAAAAAGAGAACGAAATTAATCGAAGTCCATCGACGGTATGATGATTTTTTTGTTACACGATTCAAACTATACTTACAATTCCTGGGGCAGCAGCGTGTCCAGCGCCATTGGAAATGGAATCACCGGAGCCACCGGGCAGGTCGAGCCGAGCCTTCTTCCTAGGCCCGATGGCTTGTAACGCAGTCAGATTGGCTTCTCTTTGCCGAAGTTCTTCCAGCTCAGCGCGCTGCATCTCTTTCGCTTTTGCCTTCAGTTTGGCTTGTTCTGGGTCTTCATTCTTAGATCTAGATTTGGCTGCTCGCATCAGCATCTCCCTCTCAGAATCCTCTCGCCGCTTTTTGTCTACGCGGTCTAATTCTTCTAAGAACTTGAGCTGACTCTTAACGTCTTGGGTTATTTCATAGCGGTTATCAGACTGTGAGAAAAATAAAAATATATTAATCAAGGTAAAACTATAACTATTAGAAATATGTTACATAATAATTGTGTTCAATTGCTTGGTAGCCAATTATATACGATGCATTACAATCCAAAATGATTTAAACTTCGTAAGTAAATCAAAAAGAAAATCTGATGATGAATGTAAAGACAATCAATTACGTTAAGAAGGCTTAGGAAACCAGCTGATATTCAAATTTATTCTTGAAATACGACGTCATAATGAATGTAACATTACGCCTCAAGCGGAGTCTAGCGCAAAGCAATTATATCTTACTTAACATTTTTCAGTGATACTATAGTATGCCAGCTGGTGCTATAGGTATAAAACTCGCTATGCAAAACAAAAACATAAAAACAACAAAATAGAGTATACAATGCAACAGGTGAAGATCCAATACTTATTTTCGAAAAGTCTAAAACTGTAGTTTTCTATGATTTTTTTTTTAACTAACTTAATTAACTAAATATGTTTAATATTTTTAAAAATATGTTTAAATTCATAAAGGTATAAGTTTAATTTCTTAATAATTAACTTTAATTTAGATATATAGATATATTTTGATGAATTGAAATCATAATGTGTGAATATTTTTTAACATTTATTGGATATATTCACAACTAGCAAAAACGTGGTCAAGATGCTGCCATATAATGTTATATTGGACCTTAAATAAAATTCATAAACACAATATTTGAAAAATGTTTTATATGGACTATTTTAATTTGGAACGGTGGGTTCTATAAGTTTTTTAAAGAATTATTTTTCTGCACATGCACTCATAAATCCACTTGTACAATCAAAATGAAGTCGGATAGTAACTTAAAAATAATAATGCTTAATATCTCTGGTAAATGGGTATGGAAACAGTGTCTTTTACAAATATTTGGTTTTTTAAGAGAATAATTTAAAATATCGACGCAAAGCATAACAACCATTAGGTAACCTGTAGGCGTATTTTGAAAAAAGATATTTTAATAATTGTCATTTCATTCAAAATAACCAAAGACAATTGGTTTTTGGACTTTTAGGCATCATAACTCCTTTGTCCCATTAGTCTACCTAAATATAAAATGATATATTAATGTCTTATGACAATGAAACCGCTAGCGAAAATCTATTGTATGATAAAATAGGTTTGTGTGAACACAGATTTCTTCTTAGCAGTATTAGCCGCAGCGCTGTACAGTGTATATTTAAAAGGAATTCGCAATATGGCAATTCATCTTTTTATTATTTTAACTGCAGTATAGAGTAATCTACTTGCAAAATTACCTTTATCAACAAGTCAATTCTGTGCTGGGCGATGGTAGAAAGCTTCTCCACAAGTGTTTTCAGGCGTTCCTGCACTGCGTGGCTGATGAGATTTGCCACTTCCGGGGGAGACTCTTCCATATTATGTTTCGATGTAATTGTCTTAATGCGAGCCTGCATTAAACTCGTCGGTACTAAGTATTCCTCTTTACACGACCTGTAAACAGATGAATTGTATTACAGCCTAACTAATGCACACTAAAATAAATGAAGTACAGAAATTGCTAGGTATTTTAAATGTAGAAACAGTTACAATGGCCTTACCTAATTTGTGTACCAATCATCTCCGTAGAGCCAAGGATTCGCTGCGATTCTTCAGCCAAGTTAACACCACCCATGGCAGCAACATCATTGATGTCATCATCTCCAGCCATCTTATCATCGACGAAAGGCTGTGAGAACTGCCCCGAAGACTTCTTTTCTTTGTCTTTGAGGAGGGATTTGCCAGGGGTGAGGACTGTAGATAGGGCAGCTGAGGCTACTGATGACCGTGGAAAGTTGGTCTTGCTGTTGACAGTCATTGCTTTACCCACTTTGTTCACATTGATCTTGGTGTGAAGTGGGATGTTCTGCAGCACGGCTATGGTACCGCCACTCTTTTGCACCGGCTGCTGGTATAAAGAAATATGATTACACACATGTAGAAACTTTAAAAAAACTGATCAGATACGAACAGCTAATTTTATGATATGTTCTCTTCGAAATGAAATAAGAACAATAATTACATCAGAATCCATAAGATTAGCTTGTCCGTGATCAAACAGGCGTTTACAACGAGAACTAACTTCGAACTGACTGGTTACAGGTAAAAATAGGACAACAGTGCTGGCTCGGAAAGGATTAATATTCAACACAAATATATTTACATAGATCAAGGAATATGTCGACACGAGAAAACTGCAGCAACATCTCCCGTTGCTGTTTGTGTGCATAATACCGAACGCGAGCTGAATTGGGAGTGCCCGAGCAAGGCTATTCGACACACAGCAATGGGTTGTAAGCAATTCGGCCTCTATGTAAAGCACTTAATAAAATGTTGATAATTCTTTATGTAAGTAGTCTCTTAATATCATCTCTCAAAAGTTTTAAAATGCTGTGCAATCATTCAGACAAACTACATTATTTTATATTAGTAGTGATTGAAATTCTTTGCTACTTTAGGTTATCTCGTGTCGCACCTCCTTGCAACTATCATGCAAATAGGAATAGTGTTAGTAAATGCATGCATTGATAACACACAGTTCATACATTTTATGGAGGTTACCTACTTCGATTGGGTTTCATTGCAGGTTTATTGGTTGCTAAGCAATAACAAAGTTTTTCTCAAGTCTACCATATGTTTATTCCGCGTTCCATAGAACTACCCATACCATAACATTAATCAATGATAAAGAATACAATGCAAACCATGCTTTTAAAGCCTTTTAAACTTAAAGCTTGACAACATTAACCTCCAATACTTACTATGATATTATGTTCTAATTTTGAATGTAAAGTTAGACTACGTTCCATCACTGATATTTTGCTGTGATTAATGCGATTCTTTCTCCAAATAATAAATTTAGCTTAACCCTACGCCAAGGGACGGAGGTAGCTCATGCGCACTTCCTCGCTCATGACCGCTATAGTGCAACTCGATTGAAATGTTAAGCTAAATGTAAAGTTTGAAGAAAAAATTGAACTAAACTCTGTATATCTATAGTTTTGGAAGAGCGAGAACTTAGATTCACACCTGAGTCATAAAAAGAAACTATTTTGCGAGAGCGAAGTATAAGTACACGTATATTACAGCATGCGCTATAGGTAACTGCTATAGAATATACCCATGGCACGTATTCTTCCAACCTCAATTTGTTAGTTCGCGACGGTATCACGGAGCTGTACAGGTAAACCTAACTTAGTACAGATATATCCAAAACAAATATTCTTGTACAATTGTACATATTACATTCATCTCTATTACAAAACTATTAAAAACCATCAAATAATGAAGCTGGGAACGACATAATGTAAGGGAATGGATCTAGCGCATACTAGTACAGAGACACGAAGCATGGGACACGTACTACAGAGGGCTGCCATCTATACTAGCCACACTACTCACCATCCTTACCATACTGCTGAGGAAAATTTTACAATTAAAAACTTAATATTTAAAATTACACTGTACAGAGGGATGGCGCTTATCTTTATCGTTCTACTAGTTTCAGCGCCTGAGAAGTAATAATTTGAAATGACTAGGGCATATTGCAATATTCGTTATTTCACCCGGTGGCAGATGGCAGCCCTTGCGTTGAGAACAACAAACCTGTACGATAGACGTTGGGGCGGACGTCGTGGGTAATACGTTAACCGTCTTTGTCGTGGAGCTGACGAGAGGGCTCGTCAGTGCTATAGGTAGCACCGGCGGCAGGAGGGGCGTCAGAGTGGGGCTCGAGCTATCCTCGTCGCGCTAACCCAACACCACCCAAACAACCCATTAGTCACACTAACACTACACAACAGGAACCACACCGTCTAACCACGTAATGCTATCCACTCTACTTATCAAATCGAACAAGCACTTTCAAGATTTGTACTGATATACAAATGTCTTTGAAAGACACAAACTTCATGATCAGTCACATAAGAAAGTAAAACAATATGTCTTGGCAACTAGCAACACATATGAAAAAATATTTATTAACAATTGGACTTATAATAACCAAAATTTCGAAATCGGGATTGTTTAGTGCCTTATTCATGTCATGCCATTATAGCTCAAGTTCGAACCAAGCTCAGCCTAAGGAGGTTTGATGCGAAATACAACGTCGGTATAATCAGTTCAGGTCTTTCTCACTTTAGGTCATCAGTGAGACTTGTAAAATGTAAGAATAGTTTGCTACTGTCATAAATCACAATTTACTAGACTAGACCCATCTTAACAACTGAAAGCAGGTTTGTGAGAGCTAATCAATATTCAATTTTTTTTTTCTAATATTTAGCATGAACATAAGTCAATCCAATAAAAAATAGTATAAAAACAAATCTAAAATAACAAAAACTAACTTTATGGATTTTATAGATTACAAAAAAATATTTGACAGTGGTGCTGTGGTAGGATGCGATACAGTCACCACAAAATACCCGAATAGGCCATCAATACATAACAATGTTAAAAAAATCTAATTTATTAATCTATGTAAGTGTACCACTAAATTAAGCGTGTCTGCACCTACAACCAGAGCAGAACTTCACACTGTTTAGAAGAAATGTTATATTAAAACATAGCAACTGGATCCTACTAAGCCAGCGACTACACTGAAAAATTTGAATCTGCAGATGAGGTAGAGAGTAGAGGTATTTCCTTCTCTCCTCTAACAGTGAAGGAAATCACCCTGGATTTAACTAATTAATTTGGACAAATCCAAGATAATGAGGAAGCAGGTGCGTGGGTGTTATCACCACGAGGCCAGGTAGAAAAGTACTACAAAGAAAACATAAATGAAAGTGACATTCACATAATGATGTTATATGCAGCGGCTTACACGAAAATGGAGATGTACTTTTTAAATAATTTGTCCAGGATAAAAAGCATCAAGGGAAGGAAGTAACATGCCTAACATAAATATATATTATATTATTTGGGTTTTTTTATATTCTTTAATCTTTGTTTATGTCCTATCACCTTCCTTAGTTGTCAACATGGGTCTACTACAATGACTATAATTGAATTTTTTACCGACATAAAGGATGAACATTTAGAGTTTATCTTTCATATTAAAACCAATGTTTAGTGTTTATGCACTATTTTTAAGTATTCTTTGACGAAAACTAAACTTGTATCTACAATATCGACTTTAGAATATGTCACATGGTTGCCATGGAAACGGTTGTATACATGGTGGCTAAAACGCGATTGTTTCGTCGACGTCATTGTCACATAACTTTTTAGGGCGAAATTCAATCGTAATCAGGCAAAATATTATATCTTCATTAATTCACCACACCCTAAGCGAATGTTGGCGTTCGGAGACAAATTAGTGTATTTTATGACAATACGACTGTTGTTTTGCTAGATACAAAAGCATTTCACATTTTTCAAAATCAATTTTTTAAAACTTTCAGGTAGCCAATTACCATAATAATATAATATACGCATATTATATTTTGCCTTTAAAATTTGTCGTATGTAGCCAATGATGGATCCACAAGTCATTACACTTGCTTTTCTGCGAAGGAACAGAGGTAGAAAGATCTACTTCTGACTCAATATCCATACAGACTTGTACTAGTATTTTTAGAAAACAACCAACACTAACTACCAACTCCATAAAACAAAAATGTTACTTCAAAACCGCATACCTAATTTGACTTTGGCTGTATTTAGATAATTCGAACATTCATTAAAATAAATAGAAAACTGACGATTGTTAGTTCAAAGACAATGACAAGTTTTAAGAGTAATCTTTTCGCATAGGGACCAAATGAAATCAGGTCAAAATGACATTATTTGATAATTTAAATGAACGAAAACATTACATTACATCTCACACTTCAAACCACACCCTGTCTACATTTATAATATCAAGACATTAACAATTAAATCTGGTTTAAGGTTAAAAAGCAATTTTATACTAGTGTTAACACTCCACGAACTGCCAAAATGCCCATCCCATAGTAGTACTAATCAGTTTGTCAAAGCCATTACGGTTTCATCATCTGATTATTGGTGATTGCACCTTACAATCCTTACCTACACTAGAAATATATGTAGTACATACCATTGATATGTTGGAATTGGTAACACTTGCAATAACCGGTTGCACTGGAGCTGGTATGTTTGTAAAGGCGACGTGCGGCGCTGGAGGATTGATACCTTCGATCACTAGCTCCTTCGTTACTAATGACTGTCGCAGCAAAGGTAAACTTTTCTGTTGAAGAGAAGAAATAACATTAAAATATACTCTACATTTGTGTACAGAATCAGAGACAGACAGATGCTATCAATATGAATCAACAAGTATGAATTGCATAATAATTACGTTTCAACAGGTACATTAATTTAGCATATTATTTAAAGCTTGGGATAAAACTGTACCTAAAGGTTCTACGTTAGACCACCTTGAACACTTTTCAGTATCTTTGAATAGTTTTTGAACTGGGATAAGTAAAATGTATAAGAGAACATGGATAATGATATGTTGCTCCTATGATGTGTGCTATGTTGGACCACACCCACTTTAAAAATCTTTTTATTCTATGATATTATTCTATCTATATTCCGGCAGTAGAATGCCATGTATTTCGCGGTGAATATGTAGCCTGCCGTAATGGTATATTAACATAATGCTTTTTCATAAATATTGAATAGTGCTTAGTATGACTTACCTTTAAAAAACCGATCAAACATGGCTGTGGGCTAGCATTAAGAAGCCGTTCCAGTCTATCACAGAATTCTTCTGGTTCAACCTGAGCGTCTATTAGTTCTTGGATCAGGTTTCTTACATTCATCTCCACCGAGGGTGGCTCTTTGCTTGATAAGTCTAATAGATTTGCTAAGAAATTCCGACATTTTTCTTTGGTATTGTCCGACGGTTTCTGGTAAGAAAAAGTCAATGTAAATTATATAAAGTCAATGTAAATCATTAACTCATAGAGAAAGGTTAATGTAATTATTGTGTAAAACAAAGTTAAGCTTGTTGAAAAATAGTAACAATAGTGACTCTCTCTCTCTTTTTCATCTCCGGCATAAAGGAAATATTTTTTTGAACAAGCGAATAATATTTTATTGAGAGACTAAACAACAAGGATAAGAAATTGTTTTATTTAAAAATCAGCAAAACAAGTGTCTTTTATACCAGTTTTATACTAAACGAAGACCAATAACACTACCAACATGATTAGTGCAAGGAATCAGAACATGTTTACTCCGCCCTAATGGTATTGTCTCATGAAGTTTATCACAAATTTTATTTTTTTATAACCAAAGAATTTGAGTGCTATACTTGAACTTGGTGATAAAATTTGTGGTTATCAAATTGATTAACACAAAGACAATCCAATGTAAAATCAAGGCCTGAAGCCACCATATTGTATGTTTTGTAAGTACCTACATTTAATTATTTTAGATACATGAACGATACGTACTCTTACTACTGGCTCTGGCTCAGCATAGTAATAATATTCCATTTTGATAACTGAGTAAACAAGTCTCACTGGATCTCAAAACTAAACACAAACTTGCACTTCACTAGTTATATCAGCTCGAAATATCGGTAAGTGATTTAGCGCCTGCGTTACGAACCCATCCGGCACGTCATTTATTTTCGATTGAAATAATATATTGATTTGTAGTTTCCATAAACGCAGACTCGAATGCAAAAAAAAATATATAGAATTTATTTCGTACTTGTTTATTTAGGGCAATAATAATATTGAAGAATACATAAACAAAATAACTAATATGTTTAGATTTTCAAAAGCATGAAATAAACTAAATAGTTAGCCCTTGTTATCAGTCCGACAATAAAAATTAATGCGTCGAATGCAATTCGGAACGTTATCACGATGGACGCACGCAACACGCATGCGCGCTGTGATTTATTTATGAAACGAGACTCCGCCGTATTTGTTTCGCTATCAGTCCATTTAACTTCTTGTTGTTATATATTTGTATGCATATAATTTAGCTATATGTATTCTTACTACAAAATATTTTAATTATTATACTAATATAATTAATTAAATAAAAATTATGAAAATTATTGATTGATTGAAAATATTTATTATTTATTTAGCGGTTTTTTATAATTTGTTGCTTATTGTATGAAAAAAAAAACCTCTATTATTACCTATAGTATGACAACATTACTAACATCATCATCAGCAATCCCACAAACGAGCATCACTTGCTTGTACATGGCAACAATTTCGAACTTAAGTCCAGGAAATCAGTGGTGTCTAAATATATCTAAATAATATTAGCTCGTTACTCTTAAAAAGTTACAATAATACTCTCCAGGTATCAGACCTGTACCCGTACCCTTATACTTAACAGACAAGGCCATATGTAGGAAAAAAAGCGGTGAAACTCTAACAACAAAACTAACCGAACAAATTACCCCCAAAAACAAACTTGCTGACCAATGAGTCAATATTATATTAATTTTGGAGTATTTTTAGTATAGATTGCTGTGATAACCTCTAAGTTAACTTTCAAAATGCTTTTATAACAGCATTAAAGATCACGGGCTAGTTATGTAGTCGCGTAAACTACGCGTTTTAACTGTCCTTAACTCTACGTCATTTTTGAAGTCAACTGCGGCGTATTGTTAACAATTATCAAAAAATACTTTTTCAAATACATTCATGAATGCCCTTTTTATTTAGTTATTTTGATTGAAGTTCATTTTCATATTTCTCCTTAAGTGTAATTTCCAATCAAGAGTGAAACGAAATACATGAGACTACTTTAGCAACAGGTTGCACAATGGCGCAATATTTAAAGCTGTACACTGTCATGCATACTGGTCAAACACCATTGAGGCTGTTTGACCAGTATGCAACGACTGGTTTTCTGTCACTACGTGTAAAATTGATTTCGAGGTATGAATTATGCATTATCAATAATTTATATCTTCACTCATCATCTCCTCTTCCTTCGAAATCGAAACCTCTTCCTTTTACATACAAGTGTGAAAAGCAGTTAAAATAATAAACTTACTATATGAGTCGTCGAACTGGGTTGTTGAGGTGTGGGTGTAGCGACCGCGACACTCGGGGCTGATGCAACTACAGGAGCTGCGATTGGCGGCGCCGGCATCTGCCCCGGTATAGGACCCGGCGCCGCCACACTGGTAGATACTGTCGCCACGCCAGGATGCTGTGAGAACAGAGGCCACACACTTAATACGCCACAACAACACAACGGCACGCATGCTAAGCAGGCCTTCACAAATGCGCTAAGCGTTCATTCCAAGCAGTGACAGGGTAGGGATATATTTAGGATGTTTTAATGTTTGGCGCACAACATTATCATCAGTAAAATTCAATTTCATTTTCATTGAAAAGCTTTAAATCTCCAATCAGCACAAAATTTTTTTTTTACCATAAGGTCCAAATTTAGCAACTTTGCAACAATTTATTTTAAAAAAAAAGCTTAATTAGATTAATGGCCGTAGCACGAAAGCGAGCGAAAGTTAGCCACGAGTCGATCGCGTTCATCACCCGGTCATGTTTGCGCCTAACACTAGAACTTGAAGAGTTCATAGGTAATTAGTATTAGATTATACACAATCATGACGTTCCGATTACATTCTTACCTTGTTAAAAACCTTACTGCATGCACCTCCACCATATGTTATATGCATGATTGAGACTGAAATTGGACAAACTATAAACACTTCTCCTCTAACAGGAGGCAGACAAAAGGACACTTAGTGCTAAACATTGTCCAATTTCTATGAGAGCGCGGGGTGAGTAGCGGAGTGGCTGTGCCTACTTACTGCCGGCACGGTCGACAGCCGGATGGTCTGAGCCTGCGGCGCCGTGAGAGTGCTGGCCGCGGGCGCGGGACCCACCCTCAGGAGCTGGTATTGACCATTCTCAGTCTTTAACAACAAATGACCCTGCTGCCCCGGTTGAAGACTCTGCAGAGTTTGCAGCGTTATCTAAAAATGATAGCCTAGTTTCAATTTAATTGAACTCATCCAAGCCAGTTCAAAAACTCGCGTCATTAAGTCTGAGAATAAGGTTCTAAAGCAGGTCATTTGTTAGATATAACACATTAAGTGGATTTAGTTGTAAACATTAATATGTTTGTATAACAACAACATTATAAAACTGAGTGTGGGATTCATTGGAACTTCGGGGTTAGCATGGTGTAAGCTAGTGTTTACCACAGTAATTTCTAAATTATAGTTAAAGCCCATTTAGCACATAAATTTACATGGCACACTTTAGTACATTTATATATTTGTTTCATACAATCAAGCATTCCAGACCCAACATTCCATTGCTGAACTGCACTGAGCTAATAGAACATTGGGAGACTATATCAATGCCATAATATTACCATGAGTATCAAACATATTATGCTTGAGTTTGGTACTAAATGCAGGTGCTTCACACCGTAACTGACAATTTTTAGGGCCAATAATTGTTTCTACACTGAAATTTGGAAAATATTAGTCCCAAGCTTAGAGTTATATTTACTCATTTTGTAACAACATTTAATTGTTCTCTGCAAATATACTTACAAAACTGAAATATCCTTGTACAATTTATTTATTAAGGTCAATATTTGCAATTTTGGTAATAATGAAAAAAAAAGGTACAATTGGGCCTACAGTTACCAAAATAAAAATGGATATTTAATTGAAGTTCTCATTAAATTACAATATACAATATTACTGACATAAGTTTTTCTAGATACAGGTAACTTAAATTACCTAATATTTCATTTATAATAATATATAATTAAATAATGATCATTATAATCATTCATGTGGCATTTTATGGAAATGATTGAATGTAAAAGTACATCGCCACATGGTTTTTTTCCAAATTCTAACATTAATAAGTGTATTGTAAGCATAGTTGCTGAGTAATTTCAATTTAATCTGCAGAGCACATCAATACATCAATACAATTTGTAGTAAAGTCAATGAAATAGGGTAGTAGATTTTCTGTTTACAGTTATAACTGTGTGGGTGAATCTTAAGCTGCTTCATAATATTGGTGTAATAATTTAGGTAAAGAGTTATTATTCATTAATAAACATTATTAAATAAAAGTTATTAATTTTTAATCATTATGACATTATATACCTAAATTAGTTTTGAAAGAACACTTAAAACGTTGAATGTAACTATAATTTTAATCTCGGTATATTTGATGTTTGACATAAATCTTCATTGACTCAACTATTGCAATATTAAATTCATTGAATGACCATACATGCAAAATGAAATGGCAAGAAAAATGTGTATTACTCAATTAAATCATGTGTTTAAATCACCTCAAAATTAAGATGGTGTGTGTCAATGATAGTGATGATGTAAAAATGACCAGCAAAGCAAAATCTTACAGGTTTAGTACATTATAGACAGATGGGAAAGATTGCTGATCATTTAATATGGATGTCAGTTGAAAGTGAAGTAAGATCATAGCCCAGAGTGACATTAATAATGCTGCTTTTTAGGCATCTTGTATACAAAGCATGGTGTTTTTACAGAACATGACAGTTAATAGTGCAAGTTGAGACTGACAGAACATTGCAACAGACATATAAACAAACCTGGTAGCAGACGTGTCTATACTCTGTGACACATGGTACTCAAGGACATTTAGCATAATTATATTAGTACTTACGAGTTTGTAGGCTATAAGACAACATCACAATAGAGAGGATCTTAGGAGGTGAAGTCAGATTCACATCCACATACACAAATGTGTTCCGTCAGCCTCAAAATGTCTGTACAAGAGTTACTGAATGAGCTTATTGTTTAAAATGTGAAGATACTGAGCAAAATGTCTGTACACAGTTGACAGACTTAAACTTACTGGAGCAGTTGCTCTCGTACCAACAACTTGAGGCGTACCAATCACCACTCTGGGTGATACTGTTGCTACTGACTTCTGAGCAGCCACTGCGGGCGCTCCAGGTCTCATGTTTAATATTTGGACATTGGGGATGATAGCAGGCTGCGCGGAGCCTAAGTTCTGTGTGGTCACTACTACGTTCTGCCCTCCAGGCTTGTTCAGTGTCATCACATTAGGTATTGAAGCAGGCATGCTAGAGTTCACAGTCATTGGGACAGTCACCATTCCAGTCTGCATACCCACTTGGCCAGTATTTGTGCCCTGCTTAATGACGAGTGGATTCTGCATGGCGATTGTTTTGTTGCCCTGTTGTGGTAACACGCTGCCGGCCGACACCGCGTGTAAAATCTGGCTCTGCGACGGCTGTGCGATGCAACCGCTGGCCAACGATTGAACTGGGAGTGTGACGCCGCTATGAGGGTTGCCCAGATGTTGTGCTTGTGTGTATATCACCTTCAATGTCTCATTTGTAAGAGGAGACCCACTCAATGACAGAGAAGTAAATGTTGGCTGTGTTGGGGCTTGTACACTGTTAAACGTTACACTTGAGGATACTATATTAGGTTGAACACTATTCACTATACCACCAGAACTTATTTGGTCAGTCATATATTTTTGTCCACTTATAATAGAGCCCGAGTTTGAAGTTATATTACAATTTTGAGGCGGAATAACATTTACGTAATTGTTTTGGGACGACGCCGACGCGACTGACGTGACTAACTGATTTTCTAATGAACCTACTATCGCGTTAACGGCGTTCTCATCAACGTTTGTGGACAGAGCCTGCTCTAAAAACTCGGCTGACGCCATTTTATACAAATCATCGGATATAGTTAGCGTTGGGAATAAACCGGATTAATCGGTAAAATTCGGTTTATCGATTTCATAAGTGTACCAACATCTGCTAATGAGTTCTACCAACGTTAGAATATTTAATGGAACCCCCAACATAGATAATAAAAAAGTTCGCCTACTCTCAATGGACAAATGCGAGTATATTGAGTCCTAAGGAACTTATACAAGTTCCTTGATTGAGTCCTGTAGGACAGGGAAAGTAAAAAAATTACAGTTGCCAATTGTATTACATTGTTCTCAATTGGAAGAGTACGGCAACCAAATACGTATGTGAATTTGATTGAATTGAAAGTTAGGTATGATTTAATTTGATGACATTTTTAGTAAAAATATATAAATATACATATCGGTAATAATTTGTGGCATTTAAGGTGCCGAGTGTGGCCACCCTACGTTGCTCTACCGCCATTGGTTATTTATTTCATACGTAATCAAAAAACAGTATAAAACCAAAAATATGGTATACTAAAGTATTGCACCATGCTACGGAATTTTATGAATAAGGCCTTTGTCCCAAGGCGTCAAATAACAATATTTTTTAACAAATAGTTCAAAACTATTAACTGAATACAAGGAATCCGACGCAGAATTAAAGTCACTCGGTGCTAAAAGATTAAACGGTATGTTATTATACGTAATTTTCACTAAAAACACTAAGTTATGTCAATAAATTATTTCCAATAAGAATGATATTTTTTCTTAAGACCTACCATTCCTCATATAATCGGTTTCACCCGCTGCTCGGCTCCATTTCATCGTAGCGTGATGTTTTATAGCCTATAGCACTTTGGGACATTGTGACTATCTATCAGTGAAAGAATTTTGGGAATCCGACTAGCGGTTCCAAAAAAACATTCAAACTTACAAATTTACCTCTTTATAATATTAGCATAAGTATAGATTATCCGAAATACTAAAAATTATAACAAAATCTAAATTTCATGACTACTTTCTACAACATCGTTAGGTACGACTAACAAAATAATTAAGCGTGTCCCATTTATGGACGTAGGACCGTATTTATTTAAACTTTCAAGTCCATATTGATAAAAATTACTCAACTAATTTATATTAAACTAGCGGACCCTCCCCGAAAACCTCTACATATAAAACAGCGAAATCGTTAGTGAATCTAAACCATCTAGGGCGTCACTCAAACGCATACAGAAAAAAATATTTAATCAGTCAAGCCGTTTAAGAGTTTAATGACACGCCTACGTATAGTAAAATCGTATATATACCTAAAGATGTGATACTTATATTTGCAACCAATCAGGGAATGTGTAATATAGTTCATCAATCACTTCCCCATAGGACACGGCGGTGCTCAGCCTAAGCAGGGCACACCGCCCCACCGCATGGTACATCCGTGTCCTCGTCTCTCTCTCTCCCTCCTTACAAAAACAACACTCAAGTATTTCCTTTTCCGCCGAATCCGAAACAGGAACCTATCGAAGCCTGTGCTGCCCCAGTAAGCACCTGCGTCGAGGACGGCGTGGATGACAGCGGCGCATGGCTTCTCTCAAGCCGCTTCTCGAAGAGGGGTCTTAAGTCTTACCGCATGGCGGTGATCCGGCAAGGAAGTTCGCCGCCTCCTCGGAGATCGTGAGATATCCGCAGATTATGCGAATAGCCCTTTGGGACGCGACCAGCGCACGAGCTGGCTGCTATCTCAAGTCTGGCGCTTACACCGGGACCAGTTTTTTCGATGAAATGTGTTCGATCAATTGTAATTCGTTGAATTGTTTTCGATGAATTTTACGCAAATCCCCCGTACGGGGGCCATGTATCGCACGATCCCCAAATACAACTTCCAGGGGAAGTTGGAAATGAGCCGCATGAGCGCAAAAAGGCCGTATTAATTTGGAAGCCAAGCGACGGAAATGCTCCGTGAAGTTCCGCCGGCAGTCCATGTCCCATCCAGAGGTGTGGCGCGTTCCGACGGCCGTAAAAGCACATGACCTCGGACTTGTGAAGCGTCACCTCGAATCCCAACTTCCGGATCCTTGGAACGACTGTTGCAACCGCATATGACATCGGCGGTGTGTTGTCAGCGTAACAGACTATGCTGACGCCGTTCGTGAGGTAGGGTCTAGGGCTTAGATCTTCGCACGGTTGGCGACGGCGATCCATAAACTTTGTTTAAGTACTTTAAAAAATTCGTAGCCCCATCTCGGCAACTTACTAGTCGAGACTCTAGAATGGAGTCTACTTTCAAAATTGTAATTCATTTAATTTACAAATCATAAAAAAGCTTTGCTTTCGCCATATTCTACTTTAATGAATGTGCTTTTTTTATTTAATTTTAAAGATTTTGTCGTATAGCTACCTAACAAGGAAAATGAGTGCTTGTCACGATCTCATGGTTACTGTTATTTCAGTTATAAGAAGTTACATAGCTGAATTCGGGAGATTCAGAATTTGGAAATATCATAACCATTTTAAATGTTAATTAACCCACAACGTAACCCACATAATTGATGCAATGCTAAATAATACTGTAATACGCAACTATAGAGAGATTACGGATGATCATATCAGATACATACATAAGCATTGTACTAGACCTATCTAGTTTATAATGGAGCAACTTAAAAATTATCGAGACTTTTCAAACCCTGGGATGATAGGCCCACCTGATATGGGCGAGTGGATCTGCTTCAGCAGATGGCATTTTCTTACAGAAATTATTAAGTTCACAGGAACATGTCGTTTGTCTATTTCGGCTCGGTCCACGCAGTAGTACGCTCACTTAAAAATGGAGTAGAAAAAAACTAAAAAACTAAATCTAACATCGTATGGAATTTAAGATTCCGCGTGATTTCACCCGTTGTTCAGCTCCTACTATTTATAGAGTGTTTAATGGGGTGAGCAATTAGGTAATAATAGTAAGTAAATCCCATAAACCTCTAGCCTCTGAAAACGTTACTACAAAGCCTATTCCAGTTAAAGGCATGGCCCGAGAGTTCATTATAGTAAATTTTCGTTTATCAAGTCACGCCGGCTTCTGTGAGGCCGTCGTATAACTCCAATAGATAGATACGAAATAATTTCAATATTCTTTTCAGTCGCATTTTGCGACCATTCAACCATTCACACAAAAGCAACTAAACCGCATATATTATGTAGATGATGCAGTGCCTGGAAAACAGTTATTTTTAGCTGGGTCATGGCCTAAGAGAGATCGATATTTCGATGTAAATTTTATATTTGTCTACTTATTTAAAGTGACTGAAAGTGGTCAGATGCTGAACTAAGATATAGCTCAGCAGCGTGATAATAAAAATTATCTGCTTTAGCTGGTGCTGATGATGATAAACTTAAATTGCAAATAACCTGGAAATCGTCATATTCAGTTGAAATATATAGAGATTATACGGAGAAAATGCAGGTCATTCTCATTCATAAAACATAACTTATGGTCCGAAAATAGATATAATTTTTATTCCACTTACCGGTGACTCGTGATAAGATGGCAGAGGTGCTCCTAAGTTAGGTAAACTGGTTCCTAAATTAAGCAGATTCAGTCCCAAGTTCTCTAATTGAAGTATGCTCGGCTTCGAATTGAGCAACTCTGAATTCAGTGGTGCTGGACCTCCAACAAAATGAGTTATAGGTAAATTCGTAAGAGGAGGCTGTCCTTGCGCCTGCGATGACGAGACTGGGTCGTACTGCATTTCGGCTTTTTCAACAACTTTACTTTTCTTGTTTTTGGATCTTTTTACCATGTTCTGCAATTTACAACATTGTTGTTATGAACAGAGTCAGTCGCTTACTGTATGATAACAAGAGTAGCAACGTAGGTAGGTAATCATAAGTTATAAATGACAACACTAAATTTTTACCGCAATTTATTGATCATGAAATTAATAATACATCATTAACTGTTAATAAAACAATATCTAATTTAAAGAAAACAATAAAACTGTAACAAAAAAAAAATCGAACTTAAAAGTAACATAAATAAACAAAAAGATATCAATAATAATTAAATATTCCTCATATTTGTCGTGAGGAGAGTAAGTTTGGGTAGAGTGCTAAAAGACTAATTGCAATATATTTTTCGTCTATGACATGCTTTAATTTGACCAAGAAACCAAAGTAGTAACCAGCCTATCAGGTTTAAATAAGACGGGCATAATAATATGCTATCTCTAGTTGTAGTAATTAAATAGAAATGATATGATAATATTTTATTCCACTCAGAATATTTTATTGCCATTCTTTTTACCACAGATGTATAAAGTTATTTCTCACAAAAATATTAAAATAGCAACAATAAATCTATCGTTTTCTGCTTTGTTTAATCTGTTCGGTTGTCATTGTCAAGTGTCAATGTGTCATGTTTTGACGTCTCACGTCAGTAATTTAGTGAGTTGATCGGTCAGCGAAGTTCAGTGAATTTTCGATTTACGTCTATGATAAAAAATACTTGTTTATTATATCGGACTACTCCCTGGTGTGCCTGAACTAATTGAAAAGTGCCATTTAGATGGAAAAGTGTTAAGACTTTGTGATTCGAGGGTCCTGGAATGTGTTTGTGTTAGGTTAGTGTATGCCTGCGTATTTTAAATCTTAGCCAATAACATTAGATGATGATTGCAGATTTATTTTGTAAGAATAAATATCTTAATATAGTTTCAGTTACGTAGCATTCGTTATGTTAATAATTATAGTGACTGTGCTGAGTTGGATGCTGTGCTGGTGCTACTTAATTCTGTAAAGCTAGGGGGCGTTTATTACGTTTAAGCAATTACCTAGAGATACGCTAAGCTATTATTTTTAATAATTATATCCTTTGTTGTATTAATTTGCGTAAATTAAAATGATCAAAATGTATTAAATTATTAAATATTTCGTAAGTTGAATAATATTGTATTTGAAAAATATTTCCTGTTTTAGATTTTTCCTGTTACTGCCTTGGTAATCAAGTTATATTCCTTACTTGATAAAATATTTTAGGATATAAATTTTCAAAAATTTTAAATTCTTGAAATAATACATGAATTGCTCTATATATATAAATCAACAGTCATTTAACAAGCTTTCTTTGTGTTTGACCAACCCTAGGGAGGTCTAGTCACCATTTCTCCAACATTGTAAAATTTTAGAAACCAAAAAAGGTTATAAAAAAACATTTCATATTTGAAGAAAATAAGCAAAATATATACCTATGCATGTTTATAAATTAGGTGCTATTGTTAAAGTGTCATACATACACTAAAAATAATCTATCTTTTGAATAGGTCTACAAATATTTTTTTTATTACTTTATTGATTTGATAGCTTTCATCCTCATGTTGAAACACAAAAGAGGAAAAGAATAGAACATTGATGTGTAAAGTAATTAGTTAGTAAAGTCATTTCAGTTCACTTCACATTACAAGCTATATATTGGTATATCATAAGGAACTTGTTGAAAATGCATGCAAGGGCTAACAAACATCTAACCTCCTTATTCTGTTACACCAACTGTAAATTAAAAAAATCTCTATAAAGTAATGTTATGAAAGTAACAATGAAGATGTTTCCTAAGGAAACTTATGCTATAACAATCAGGGTACTCAAACAAGACTTTAATTCATTGGAGACAAAAATCATTTTCCTTATTTCTGCTACCTATGATATATTGCTGATACTAATTGATGTATGATAGATGTAGCTGCAGTAAGAGCTAGGTTACGAAAATCAACATCAATAAGAGTCTCTTTTTTAATAATCTGAATAGCCACCAAGTACCAGATAAGTTTGAGTATAGAACATTATTTGTATAAGATGAATATGTTTCATACTAGTTGATCATAAAACACTTGGTCAAAACATTACTTAACAATTTACCTTACAAGTCATTATTGAATACATACTTTATAGTCTAATCATCTGGCATGCACCTGAATAGCATATTATGTAGTTCAAAATAGGTTGTACAATGAAATAATGGTCCAGTTAACAATGGGAAGTGTAATTAAAAAAGCATTAAGAAAGCCAAGCTATTATAATTAGTTATATTGTGATTAAATCATTTGAATGAAACAAGTGTTTGATGCATACCAATGTTTGGTTGACAGTGAGTTGTGCTTTATGTCTGGTCCACTACTGACTGAGCCACTATATTCAGTATTGTCGATATGAACAGATGTACATGTCTTGCCTCAACAGATAAAGCAGGATGTGCATAGTTATTTAGATTCACTTGTGAGATCTGTGGAGGGGTGCTAAATCAATTTTAAGTGGGAAATGCTTTGTTGCAATAACCTTTGAAAGGTTGAATTACATATCTAATCTGATACAGTACTTAGGGTCTAGACTTTAATCTTATAATACTTTGTTTTTTAACATTTTGTGTCATAGTAACATCAAGTAAGGGTAACCCTAAAGAAGTGATTATAAAAAGGTGTACAACTGAGATCTTTCATCAAAATAATTGTAATTTTGTTATTAGTTACTAACATTAACATGTAGATTTTTCCTATCCTCTTAATTATAAATACATTAGTACCGGTAAAATTACTTGTAAATCAAGAGGAGAACCTCAAAATGGGATGGCTAGTCAATTAAAATAAAAATTGTTCTGTTATCCTGTTGGTCCACAATAAGTCAATAGTTAATTTGGGGCTATTGTGAACACAAAGATTGAATTATGTGTGTACTTTTGATTCTGAATCTCAAGCCATCATTTACACTTTTTTATTTACACCCACCCCCATATATCCATAAAATTAATTATTGAATAAAGAATTTTATTAAAGTTCTAATAACTTCAATAATAAATTTATGGTTCTAATGGAAGATATTATAAAATTATTTCATCTTTGTATATGGCCATTGTTTGAGGTAATCGTGTTTTGGTCCTAATTCGCTAAGTATGTGAATCATCAGCTAAACACAATTTTGGCAATTTCGTTCGGGATGGGTCCTCTGATATGTATCACACATATTATAAGAAACTATTCTATAAAACTCAAGTGATTCTTTAAATAATCGAATTCCTACAATGTTGCAGTTTAGTTGAATGCTAACATTGTCATAAAATTATCAGTATCACAAAAAAATTTGGTGTATTTTAAGAGACCAAGATAGTGTATTTCAGGATAGACAATTACTCACTGTTTTAGGTATACTTACGATAAAGCTCCTCAGTTGAGTAGAACTTCCAAAAACTCTTATTGCTATAATTGAAATCAATTTGAACTTGTTATAATACCAAAAAGCTCTAGTAGCAGTAAATAGTAATAAAATAGTTAATTTCAATTAATTTATCCCAGTAAAATACCCAGTGACTAACTAGTAGCTAAATTACCCTTTATCAGTTCAGCCTAAAAAGTAAAGTATGGGGGGTATTAATGGCAATCCACAAATAGTGTGTTATTAACAAAATGTATTGTGTTTTTATATGGAATTTTACTAGAAAAAATATTTTTTTTTTATTTCAATATTTTCGTCTCCATGATTTAGTACTTAGTTATTTTTGTTTCAATTTTAACACTTCCAAAATATTTTTATTTATCACATGCAACATGATAAGATTTAACAAAACTGGTATTCGGCATTCTTTTTTCAAAATTTATGAATATGCATACCGTTTTATAATTGATTGCAATTAAAAAACGGTTCATTAGACATCAACACGTTCACTTATTACATTAGAAAATTCAAGCTTTTGTCTCATAGTGTAGACAGAAACTACAGTCTTCTACTACGATCTTATAAAATAAGTCTAGAGGTAGTGTTATGCATTTCGCAGCCAGCTAGGTTGGTAAGCCATTCTGTTAACGACCACGACCTACTATTAAATAAATGATATCGCAGTACGATTTTGTGATGGCGGGCGATTCGATTTGCGGGGCACAGTTCTAATATAACAGTAACCTACCTTACCATTGTAGTAAGAAGGAGGAGGGTTTGACAATATTTTACCCCTCAATTTCAACAACTTGAACGAGATGCAGCCGTGCAATGGGACAGCTAGTCTTAGTCTTTTTTCAATACAATAGGACTTTCTGTGTCGTGGGGGCGTTTACAAACATACAATTTCACGTGCACATCACACTCAGACCCGGAACAACAATTTGTGGATCACACTTAGTGTTGTTTCGTGCGGGAATCGAACTCGAATTAGCTCGGGTTATTCCCGACTTTGTACGGCAGACGATCTCATTTAATCGTTGTTTTGAATGGCTACATAATCTAGTTGGCTTCGACATATTAGTACATGTGCGTTAACAGTATGTTTTTGTGGCAGATGCAGTAATGGAGCGCTTTCCATTGAAGTCCCCTGGCCCGAAAATGGCTACAACGTACCAGTCCGTCTACAAAAAGGTAAGTCTTAGATATTTTAATTTCTTAAAGCATTTACTTATAGTGTACTGATAAAAAAAAACTGTTGTCTTTTTACGTCGGATATCCAATGTGAATTTGTTGGTCAAATTCGGAATTATAAGAAACTATTATTTAGCAAATCCAATACAAATGTGCCTATTAGGAAAAGTTGTTTTTGTTTAAGAAATCTGATATTCCTTAAAACACCCTCCTAATAATGAGGTGTTGTAGGAAAATAAACATTGCGGGTGTTTCCCCAAACAAATAATAATTGTTTTGGGTAAAAATGAACCAATAATTATAATTATTATTTCATTTAGTTAGTTTTGTGAGATTGTAATCTGTATATTTTATTACAATATGATAGGTTCATGTGGTGCTTAATTGGATGATTTCCAAAATAAATAATAAATTGTTTTGACTTTTCAATACAATTAATTATTAAAATATAATCAATGAAACAATGAAACAATGAATTTATTTTTGCAAATAGGCCTTAAAACGGCACTTTTACACGTCAAATTATATGTGAAAAACTAGATGAAGCCGGCATTTCCTATCTGACTACTCTGAGAAGAAATGCCGAAACAAACTCAGAGGTCAGTCTCTTTTCAAGTCCAGACAATATAAAATAACATAATGTGAGAGAACCGTGCAAGTTCATTCTGTAGTGGTCTTTTGAGGAAAGAACCACACCAGTTTAAGTGGACCCGTTTTGAAGACAGGCACGCAAGTGTCAGTTTGCAACCATAGTGCTGTTGAGTTGTCCGACGAACAATACCGATCAAAAGAACATTTGGGTGGGTCGCGCAAGTACTCAAACTGTCAGAACGCAGATGACTGGTGATAAAAAGCACGACAAGTCTCACACGGTCCTTACACTAACAATAATATAAAATAATAAAAATGTCAACAAATAAATAAAAAAAAAATGTCAAATAAAAAATAAAAATGTCAAAATAGGTGATCATGTCATTGTATAAAAAAAAATAAACGTAATGTCAAATTGTATATAAAAGTGTAACTTATGTTACAAACATGTCAACATGACCTGTGCAGACATTACAGCGGCTCATTCCCAAGCCTGACTATCCTCTAAGTAGTCTTTTATTTTATAAAATGCTTTACAGCAAAGTTTAGCCTTTATTACACTTTTAAATTTATTGAGGCTCAAATTTTGAATATCGCTAGGAATTTTATTGTAAAAGCGTATACATTGACACCTAAACGAACTACTTATTTTCTGAAGCCTGGAGGCAGGCACAACATATTTGTTTTTCCCCCTCGTGTTGATATTATGTATATCACTATATTTCTTAAATAAGCTTTTGTTTTTATGAGCGTGAATTACATTTTCATAAATATATTGAGAGGCAACTGTCATTATTTTAGATTCCTTAAATAATTCTCTGAGCGAATGCCTAATCATAATAGGTATATTTATTTGTTCATTCATTCGACATAATTTTAGACTTTTTTCTAGCGCTTTCATAGAGACATAATATGTTATAAATGTTAATTATATTAATTGCGAATTTATACAAAATAGAGAAATATTGCATTTGAATAGTTGCATACTCCCGTATGTACCCTTAAACGGGCAAAGGTGTCCTCTCTCCTCTTACCCACTTCATTATAGGCCATAACGGGGATATTTAAAGATTATATTAAAGAGTTTACATGGTGATCTGTGATGTGATGAATGAAGTATAGTTTGTGTTACTTTTGAGCAGTAATAAAATGTAGTAGATACCTACAAGTTTTAGTTGTCGCGTATTAGCTTCGCCCGAGTGTCGTTATGGTGAAGACCACCCAGAGGACTAACTGGAACATCCGGTTGCGGTTTGCCGTGCTTGTGCTGAGCACCGCCGTATCCTCAGGTCAGTTATCGGCGGCGACGACCTCTCGCGCCTGTCCTTAGTTGAGGTCATGGTGCGAAATGAGAGGAACTGGGAGGCTGTCTCCTTTTTCTGCGAAGCAGCTATGCTCGCAAAGGAAGAGGCGGAGCGCGTGAGAGATCTATCCTCCTCCTCACGCCCCAGCCTCCGTTGTAACCAACACTCTGGACGTCGGAGACTTACAGGCCATTTGATGATTTTCCGCTCACAAAAAAGGGCGTGTTAGGTGCGTAATTGAGACTTATTCCAATAACGATAACCGCCAAAAGAGTGCTATTTTACGGCGTGCTTGTATAAACGCGATTATTAGCTAATTATGGATGCGAGGATCAAAATATGTTGTGCCGGTAATGTTAGTGCTTACTGCCGATCGTGACATAATTATGATATAACAAATATTGTTCGGTTCATTTAGGATATTTCTACGAAGACATATTCTTCACGCCTTTGATTTAGGCTAAGATGGTATAAATAAGTAATAAATTTATCCCTTTTAATTGCTAAGATTTTTCTCATAAATATATCTGCGCACATAATATAGTAATAATCAATGACGTATTATATATAGACACGTCATGAACCAACATCGCGGCGCTTAAAAACGGCGAAAATACTAGATAACTACTTCTACGAGTAAAGAAAGGGAAAGAAAATATGACATCGTATAGTGGAATGCCTTTGCTAGAGGGAGATAAATATACATCTTCAGTTATGCCGACGTCACGTGACTATACCTTCATGCGCCGGCCGCCATAAGATGGCGGGCGCCGGTGTCGAAAAAAATAAAATAAAAATAGGTTATTTGGTGAACTTACGCATGAAATGACACATTTTTGTCTTTAACTTTTGGAGTATAATTGGTACATCGTCTGAACACACACAACGACATGCTTTCTTTATGTTTCGCACAGGTTTACACACGATATAAATTAAAAACAAACGTAGCGTCGCGCGGCAGGTTGGTGCGTAACTAAGCGCGATGTTGTCAATTGCCTTCATTTCATGTTGTCATTTTAGAGCGCGGACAACGTATCTATAGTTTTATACATCATTGGTAATAATACATACATTCAGTTGGGTCAAGAACCCGAAGCAGAAAGCTGTACTTCTAGACACGGCGCGGATTGTCCGGAGATTCCTTTCTTCGGAGCCCTGACCACCGGTTGCTTGGAACCCTCCCGTAACCGGTGGGATACTGCTTTTTATATTGTTTGCTTTTTATGTTTTTCTTTTTTTTTATATTTAGAAATGTAAAAATCAAGTGTAAACCTAAATACACATTTCTTGACTATAAGTAATTTTTACATTACGGATTTATAGTATAAATACAGCTTATACATTTGAGTACAGGTATAATTTTATTTTATTCATTGATTTTGATAATTTAGTATATTTTTCTACTTGTATTTAATTCAAGCAACTGATTATTAACTGTCAAGCTGATGATTTAACGCCTGTTCTCTGGAGTTCAACGCTTTCGTTAGAAGTTGTCAATGTTCTCCGATAATGCTTACCTTTATTGAAAACAAACTTACAGATTAGTAAGTTTCCTTTCTTGTCTGAACAAAAGCATGTCGAGCAACTGCGAACAGGGTCGTTTAGGCGTATTTTGTAGTTTTAATACCGCCATAGGAAACATACAAAAATAAACGTTTCTGATGGCTAAAAAAATTTTTGGTTTTTATACAGAATAGTGTAAGTATATATAGTATAGTACTCTATTCTTGTGTTACTGTTTGAACACCGCGATTTCTTCGATTTCATTGTCGACAATTTACAACATGATGGAAATTTTATTTGTACCAATATTATTGACTAGTTAGTTGTTTTTCTTGAATATTCGTGTTGCTAGTCAATTAAAAATCAAATTCGGCCTCTTGAGGATATTATTTTGTTGTCTTTCCGACGACACGATTGCTTAAGTAGTCGCATGACTGCCTTGCAATGGATCTCGGGTTTGGTTCTTGAGTATGTTGTGTTTTTGACAATATCGGTTTTATCGCAATTTTGAGGCTAGTCGAAGTTTATAGATATTCAAATCGTCTCGTACTAAAATTTTAGAATTACCTAACAGATTGTCTAGGTATGCACTAGACTCGGCAATAATCGATACAGCCATAATTAGAGCTTGACCTGACCACCGGTCCGCGCTGCGCAGCTTGCAGGTGAGCGCATGCCTAACTTTCCGTTGGAGCTGTTCTCTATTGCGTGCACAGTTAGGTGCACTATCAGTACTTAGTCATAAACTTACACCCGTCTGAAATGCGTTTGTATGCAAGTACTGAGACTGCGCAGCTCGGTCGGCGCACTGGAATCTTCCACCGGCCCCTATATCGATCACCACCCCCGCACTTTTCAGTAGGGTTGAGAACGCCGTGCCGACGCAAGCACTAGGTTGCTTCTCCTAAAAATTTGTTAAAATTTTGAATTTAAATGATATTTCGGGTCGCGTCTTTGTTTGTGGCGAGCTGCCAGACTACCTACAGCATAATGTAAGTACTTACGTTTTCTTTTCAACACCTTTACGTCCACTGGTTTGTACATATACAATGAAGAACTCAGATGCTTATGTGACGTGGTTAATGTTGCGATATTATTATTTAGGTTTTTCACATCAAAATTATAAGGAGCACTTTATGTTCCTGTGGTGTGATGTCGGTACAGGTATCCCCAATAATTTCCATGATGCGATAGAGATAACAAAGACAACAAAGGTCACCTGATGTAGGTACACACATAGCTATTCATATTACCTACCTTTTCGATTAGCTAGGCATTTTATCAACTCTCGGTAGAAGAATATTGTCATGTTTATGGACATTAGTTCCATAAATAACTCAAATACTCTTACTACGCAGACAGATGGTGACAGATGGGTCAGTGAAAATGGCCGTAAATCAATATTAAAGTGTTATCGACATTATTAGGTAGCTTTAATTAAGCGCCTAGGTAAGAAGACTAAAGAAAATAGTAATTCAGCTTACAAAATCAGCTTACTTACAAATGGAAAAGTAATCTAGAACATTCTATTGTAGTACTTGTTGGGCAGTATGTGTAACATATGGTATATCCACATGTACAAGTATAATATACTTAATAATATTGCGAGAAAAGGTTCCATACCTCTCACGTGCTGGTTAATGACATATCTTTGGTTTCACTCACCCAGGGTAAGGCGAGAGGTGTGTCAGACTCTTACTGACTGGGGGCCAAACGCCTCCTGTCGGAGGTTGTATAGGTACGGGGATTGTGCGATCCTTGGCCCTTTACGGGGCCCCTGTGTGGGCGCCGGACTTGAGACGGCGGCCAGCTCGTACGCTGGTCGCGCCCCAGAGGCTCATGGCATATTTGGATAATCCGCGGATATCGCACGAACACCGGGGAGGCGGCGAACCTCCTTTCTGGATCACCGCCGTGAGGTCTGGAAGCGAAGACGCTCGCCCGCGTCTACAGTTTGTGCGCAGACGCGCGTCGCCGGGGCGAGGATCCTCTGCCGCGCCAAATTAGTGCGTGGCGGAATGAGCTCTGGCGAGATCTCATGTCTGAGTGGAAGCAGCGACTGTCGCAACCGAGGGCCGGGCACGCTATTATAGCAGCGGTAAGACGCCTCTTTGAGGAGTGGCTTAAGAGACGCCACGGCGTCCTCGCCTTCCGCCTTAATCAGGTGCTTACCGGGCACGGCAGCTTTGGTAGGTTCCTGTTTCGGATCCAGCGGGAGGAAACACCCGAGTGTCATTGTGAGGACCACCTAGAGAATAAGGTGGAGCATACGGTGGCGGTATGCCCTGCCTGGGATGAGTACCGCCGTGTCTTTAGGGAAGTGATTGGTGGGCGGCGACCTCTCGCGCCCGGCCTTAGTCGAGGCCATGGTGTGAAGCGAGAGGAACTGGGACGCCGTCTCCTCCTTCTGTGAAGCAGTTATGCTTGCAAAAAAGGAGGCGGCCCGCGTGAGGGAGCAATCCTCCTCCTCACGCCCCAGCCGCCGCAGCAGGCGACACTACGGCGTCGGGGATCAAGGGACGATCTCCAGCCACCTTAAGCGCGGGCCTGCGGACAGCGAGTAAGAGCAACTCGCCGCCCGTCCACGCGCGCCTAAAAGAGCCAATAGACCACCACAGACGGGGCCCTATAGGGCTGATGTTCAGCCGGGGTTGCAGGGTAAGCGCAATAAGGCACCGCAGCCGGAGAAGGATCAGGGGATTTTTAGTCAGTAAGAGTCTGACACTCCCTCTCCCGCCCGGCCCCTGGTCGGGAGAAGTCATTTGACAAAAATCCTTACAAAAAAATACTTACTGAATAAAAACCCCTCCGTTCCTCCTCATGATACTCGTCGAGGCCGTTGGATATCGACCCTGTTGGATCCCATTTGTAGTGGTCTTATGGCCCATTATGCCCATATGGAGACACGCGTGTAGTGCAACGCGCTCTACGCTCAGATCTGGTATTGGTTGGGCGGCAAGCTAAATTTACTTGCAGTTTGCCCGGGGTGTCTCCAAATTAGGCGGCTGGAGCGTGATAGGATAGTTTCCTCATGTGGCCCGCCACGTATACGGTACATGATGGGATAACGGCTATCGGCATACACAAATTTTATGGGTGCCCTATTTTGGCCGAAAGCTAACTTCATACTTAGCAGGTAGTTAGAGGTTTTAGTCCCTGGCCAAGTCGATTAAATCGAACTGTTAATTGTTTCCCCTCACTTTTGTCCTTCACCGGAACGTTATATATGTCTGATGGGATCTTGGTCAGTCAGTAAGTCTATGGGTTTACATTACAACGGAGGAAGCAAAGCAAAGCGTCGCCTCCGCTACAAGGCGCCGCCGCCTCGAGTCCTGCTGTTGGTCGGACGACAAGACGCCCCGAGGCCGTAGGTCGGGCACAGTACGACGTCTACTGCATCTGCTGCGGGAGGGAAGAGAGAGGCAGCCTCTCCCTCCCTTTACGCCGCCTCCATCGCGCTCTCGCTGTGGCATTCGCAGCGCGGCGATGTTACGGCCCGTCAGGGCGTCCGCCCATACTGGTGCGGCGTATAACGCCATCGACCGTACGATCCCCATATGGAGCCTCCGGCAGGAGGAGATGGCTCCCCTAGTTGGGCAGCAAGCGCGACAGCGCAGCAGCAGCGCCCATCAACCGAGGGGCAAGCCGTGTAAAGTGCGGCCGGAATTTCACCGACTGTCGAGAACGAGTGCTTCCTTCATCTTACTTCGTCGAGAATTCATCGTTGACTCATCAGCTATGAAAACACCTCCTACTATGATGCTTTACCCCTGAGGCGGCTTCATCCTCGGCCCATGAAACCAGCCCAGTCGCCGCCGCCGCAGTACGACTGCCCACGCCCTGTAACTAGCATATCGTTGGCGTAACAAATGAAGCCGACACCGTGGAGTAGCGCACCGCCCAGTCGTAGTCAGCGTTCCACAAGAGCGGACCCAACACCGAGCCCTGCGGAGTCATTACTACCACTGAGGTCAGGAATACTAACCAGCAAACACGGCGAACTCCGTTTCGCCACCAGATGTATTTCAAAAAGTTGGCGAAATATGTGAAAAATAAGATTTTTCCTCTTTTCGAATGAAATACCGTGGAAATCGGTTCGTGCGTTCTAGAGTTACAGCGTCAGGTCAGGAAGGAAAACCAGATACAGGAGCGGTCCCTGGACCGATCCTTGTGAAACATCGCGCGACATCTCTCGCCGGTTCCAGAGGTGGCGTGTTCCGATGGCCATGAACGCACATGGCTTCGGACTTGTGAAACGCTACCTCGAGTTCCAACTGCCGGATCCTTGCAACGACTGTCGCAACCGTTTGTGACATGAAGTCGGCCGCCATCGCCGTTCGCTAGCATCAGCGTGTCGTCAGCGTAACAGATTACGCTGACGCCCCTCGGGAGGTCGGTGCGTAGCCTCCGTACCTGATGGTCCACAGGATCGGTCCCCGGACCGATCCCTGTGGAACACCGGGCGACATCTCATGCCGGTTCCACACGTCAGGGTGACCAAACACGGGCATCTAAAAATTATATGGCACTCTCTTTGTTATGTCGAAAGCGATATTAATTGATATTGTAACACTATTTAGTGGTAGTTTATTTTTGTGCGGTATTAAGCGGAAGAAGGAACGAGGTGGTTTTTAGACAGCAAAAGTCTGACATTACCTGTCGCCTTACCCAGGCCTCGACTAAGAACAAGGAAAGGAGAAAGAGAAGGAAGGGGTGGTTTTAGTAACTCCCTACTCCCATACTGGATTTCGGAACATTAATCATTTATTTCTAAATAAAACACACATTTATTTTTAAAATGTAGTTATAGCATCAGGTTTTGGTTAAAAAAGCAGTTTTCAAACGACTACAATTATTAATATTTTAGGATCAATTAATGCCAAAACTCAATGGGTGTTCAAAAATTAATGGTTACAAATTTTGTTTTTATTATGGAATATGACCGCAAACGATCAGATCACCTGGCTGGAAATCAGCAACTAAAACTCCTCTGGAGTTTCTAATGCGGTTTTGACTTTTTTATTGTACAACCCTGTTACAATCTCCCAGAACTCTTGTAGATATAAATAACTATGAAAACACTAAACTTCGGCTCGTCCCACCCAAGGACCTGAACTGCTGTCTTGGACCTTACAACAAAATAAATAAGTAGAAATGTTTAAAGGAGAAGAAAACGGAATTAAATTGTGGGTTTTATATGCATTTAAGGGTTGGAGGCAGTGGGGATGGGAGATGTTGTGAGGTTTAAGCGTCCTGTAACTTCAGTGCCACGGCAAACACATATTTCAAGTATTGTTTCAGTGCTGCCAGTTTCCAGTGAGGCATTTTTTTGTGAGAGGAAAATCATCAAATGAGTTCTCCCGCCCAGGGTGAGGCAAGAGGAAGGGGTTTCTTTTTTGATTTGATTATCAGACTGACTTATATCCCCCGTTCTGCCTCCTGCTCTGGTCTACGATGCTTAATTAACAACCCCGGCTGAATATCAGCCCTATAGAGCCCCGTCTGGGGTGGTGTCTATTGGCTCTGTGAGGCATGCGCGGAACACAACACGCCTAACGCTGGGGTCTCGGTTTGGTCGACGGCGAGCTACTCTTACACGCCGTCCGCAAATCCGCGCTTGCTTCGCATGGTGGCCGGCGATCATTGCTCGATCCCTACACCTGGACTGTCGCCTACTGCGGAGGCTGGGGCGTGAGGAGGATAGCTCCCACACGCGCTCCGCCTCCTTCCCCTCTCTGCTAGCATCACTGCTTCACAAAAAGAGGAGAGGGCTTACCAGTTCCTCTCACTCCTTACCAGGCCTTGACTAAGGCCGGACGAGAAAAGTCGCCGCGCCCGATCACTTCCCCGGGGACACTGCGGTACTCAGCCCAAGCAGGGTACACGGCCACCGTATGCTCCACCGTGCTCTCCGGGTGATCCTCACAATGGCGACAACGGGCGTTTCCTCCCCCTGCATACGAAACAGGAACCTAACGAAGTTACCGTGTCCGGTCTGATATCGGACTTCAGCAGAACATGCTGAAGTCCGAATATTTTTGGGCATTGTCAAGAGTTAAATTGGAAATGGCCAACTGCAATACAATTAATATGCTGTGCCTATTGTCTGAATTGTATTTATCTTTATAAAAACGGATCAGCTCTATGTTCTCGATGATTCCATGAATTATATTGATACTTGTGGCTGCATTAGCGCGGGCTGAGGTTCAACGTACTGCATAAAATCAATATCTTCGGCACTGGACATGCGTTCTAGAGTTCTAGCGTACCTGCGTGGTCTAGGGGTGGGTCCGCGCCGACGCACTGATGCACCTAATCGATACCGCACCCTGCAGTCGGATCATAAGTCGGTCTGAACGAAGCGCGGCGCACGGTTCCCTTGCTAGCTGTGCGGAAATTTAACTCTGTTTGTGATAGTCCCATATTGTAGTCACACAATGTCCCGAGATGTTCCAATCAGTTCAAATTGCTATCACTGCAATAATCGTGTGCATCGCGCAGTCCGCGGGATACCTCGAACCGAGGGGTCGTATACTCGTAGTCGGGACATTGTCATCCATCTAAATGGGGGGGAGAAACAAGTACAAGCCGCTTCGACCAACCTCCAGCCGCAGCGAACAAGTTAGTACCAATCTGTTTATTATTATTTTATGCGTTCATACTAATTTCGCGTCTTTTGAGTTTGATTTTTTTTTGGTATTTTTGTCTGCGCATGCGCGATGGCTATCTAGAATATTCTACGTACTTCAGGAACACCTAGAGGTCATTTGGGCAGGGCTCTCTTTTTTTAAATAAAAGCTATATTTTTTTCCTATTTGTAAAGATGTTAATAACTATTCTGAGTTAATCACATCGGTGGCTTGCTCTGCAGTCGTGCTTGCGACCACTCAACTAACCGAACAGTAATGTAATTCCATAAGGCTGATTTTGCGAAAATAATTATTTTAACCTTTCAATCGTGGTAATTTGAGACACAATAGAAGAAGCGCGAACGCCGGCGTTTGCTTTGGGGTTTGATGGATTAAGCAGAATTTTGGCGTAAGTGCATAGGTAGGTAATAATAAAAACATAATAATATGTAGGTACGCGGGGAGAGCCTTTTGTAACAAATCGGTCACATTTCCAGACTTTCTATTTCGGTATGGGAGATATGGAAAAATATGTCGAATGAATCGATCTACGTCGCATGAAGCAAACAAGCCGTGTTTTGCTTCATGTCAAATCGATACAGTTATTGAACATATACCGTGACTTTTTATATTGCTAAACCTAAATTTGGTTTATCTAAGCAACTAGTGTTTTAGGTATAAAGCGACAAATAAAAAAACACGACTAATACATATTTCTAATTTCTCTCTTAATTTTATTAGGTCGTTACCTAATTGACGAGCTAAATAGTGTAATAATTCTTTCATACCCTGTGGTCATCCCTATTCCAGACCTCCAGCCTTTGGTTCAACATTTTCCTTTTTTTCGTGTTAACGCATGCGCGCTGCTCTGTAAGCTTTGTCCTATGGCGAGTCCACATCTGGCGAATGCGATGCTCGCGCGTCGTTTGTCGACCGTTTGTCGTTGCTGTCTTTACCACATCCAAAGTCAAATCATTTATTTCAACCACGATAAGCACTTTTGAACGTCAAATAAAAACAAATATCAAAAACTTTATGTGTCAGTCTGTCGGATTGTCCTCTAGTGAAGCTATTTGCACGTTTCTACAACGATGCTGACATTTTGACGTTTGTCCATCGGACGTGTATATCAATCGCCTTTTTAATCTACCCAACTTAGGGGCTATAAAATGTTCTTCCCTTTCCGTATCTTCTACCGCCGGACCAGATACTGCTGATGGTCATGTCCTCGACGATTGGATTCCCAAGGATCATCTTTCCCTATATAATCTTAACTTTGGAGTTGTGGACGGCTTCTTCTTCTGGGTCGTATTCCATTTACCCTAATCTATTAGTTGCAGTTTTTCTAGTTACCTATTCTTTTATAATGGTGAAATGAAATTGTACTATATTTTAAAACTTTTTTTTGAGTGAGAAAATCATCAAATGTCTTCCACGCCTAGGGTATGGCGTAAGGGAGGGTCGAACTCTTATTGACTAACCCCCTCCCCTCCCGGTCTTTCCTGCTTTAGGTCGAAGTCGCGGTACCTTATTGCGCTTGCCCCGCAACCCTGGCTGAACATCGGCCCTGCCAGGCCATCTTTGAATGCAATTGATACTATGGTCTTACAGACTCGTTATATGATTTGTTCACATAAACGTTAGAGGGACTGAAGGTCTTCATATACTTATGGACATAAAGCTTACTTACTTAATACTTTACTATTAGTAGATCATCAATATGGGTTATACATTTTTTTCTTTAATGGCTCATACTGTTTAAAAAAGATCTTTGTGCTCACTTAGGTCATAGGTCTCTGAAATATTTTTTTTGCATAGACTTCGATTTTGTAAAGAAACGTTTTTAATAATTTGCCTGCTTTTTAAATGTTTATCGGCCAGAAATGTTAACGACGTGATGATTTCTTACACCGTCTCTAATCATATTACGTCAGCCACTATTGTCCAACAGTAGTTTGAGTAAGCCGTTAAACATAATATTGTATTTAATATGTCTCACGAAAGTTACAAGACAAAAACCAACAAACTCTATCTGCTTCCCAGTCCATCAAACTTTCTTTGGGTGTTGAGTTCATATCGTCGAGAGGTATTGTAGCTTGATTTTGTTAGATATTACTTAGATGAAGTAAAGCAGATTTAATAATAAGACACGACGACGTAGCGCCAGTTGCTCTCTAAGATCGTTTTTGTGGGACATTTCTTCGTGATTTTTTATGGAAAATTAGCCAAAGTGTTGCCAGTGCTTATCCATTGGATGCCTGCGCCAGGCAAATAAGATACTTTTTTATTTCAAGGCTTCTGAAAACTCTTCCGAATGAGATTGTGAGTCAAAATGTGTAAATATAAGACATCGAAATACGGTACTGATTTTCCATTAGTAATTATATTAATTTTATATAAAAAGGGATAGTTTATTTTAACCTGACAGTGGCACTGGGAGACCCGATGCTACTATTACTGAGAATTTTTCGAAACGAAAAGAGACCTCGACAAACTACAGGCTTTCTAAAGACTACATCAAAATAAAATAACACAATCAATGCAATAAAGTACTCACTAACACAATTTACGGTTAATATTAACTATGGTTTTTTATGTTTTTATTAAATTAACTGACTAGGTATGGTTACGCCTTTGATTCCACAAATGATTTTAACTCAAGGCGCTTATATTTTGTTTTGTAAGTCATATAGTACGAGTATATTAGAAACATACTTAATAATGGGAAAAATTGAGGATTGTATATAGATTGGAATGAGAAAACCTGTCGTCTGGCATTATTTTAATTGCGTGTGTTTGCGAGTGAAATGAGTCAAAAATTCATAAACTCTACATAAGAACTCTTTTTTTTAAGAGAATTGAAATTCTTTTCCTGTCCCAAGCCGCGGTACACTGTGGTGCATAACCCGCAACCCCAGCTGATCACTCATTAGCCCTATTGGGCTCCGTCTAAGGAGTTGATGCTCAGAATGTTAAAATCCAGTCTTTAAATGGATATGTTTGTAAGTCTAATTGTGGGGCAAGCTTATTGCTATGCACTGGTTCTGACATCTTCTCGAATATTATCGAAAATCCTTTTTAATCAGAATTTCGACATCACACCTTTTACACTTTACACACACGTTTCGCATTAAGTGATGTGCACCACATCATAATAAACGTCTATAATGGAATTTGTTGACTAGTATCTTACAAAAAATCGCCCACTTTGAGAAAAGTATGTGGTTAGTTTTGATCCTCGATGAGGAACGCAGAGGTGTACCGACATATCCGGGCTTGCGGGTTAAGCGTATTGACATACCGCCACCCGGATCGCAACCGAAGTGGGATTATAGTAGTTTTAATCAGTGAGATTCTTTTGCCTCAACCACACCATTTATTGATTTCACCCTTCAAAAACGAAAAAGTAACTGAAACGATAATTTATTTTTCATTTCATTTTACATATCCTAATTGGAAGTAACGGCCGTGGGAAAAAAAGTGTAAGTAAATCTTAACCACTTTTAGTGTCAGCCGGGGTTGCGGGATAAATGCAATGAAGCACCGCAGCCTCGGCCCAGAGCAGGAGAAGGAACACGGGCTTTTTAGTCAGTAAGAGTCTGATACTCCCTCCCGCCAAACCCTGGGCGGTAATAGTCAATTGATGATTTATCACTCACAAAAAAGACACTTTTAGTGTCTTCAAATAGAACACAGCTCTTTGTTCTCTCATTACTTTTTACGCCAAAAATCACGTGAATTCAATAAAAAATTAATTTCGAAAATACCATAATATGTACTAGACATACATATTATTATGTAATGTATAAACATTTAAGTAGTTGCCAAATGTGCCGACTTACCCTCACTTTGGAATACCATCGTACACGTGTGTAGCAAAATTCGGCTTACTTAGCTTATTTCCAGCTTATTTTCAAAGGTAGGAGGATTAGATATATGTAGATACTAGATTGTTTTGTTGATTATTTATAACATTGATCGCAACAGACAAGCACGTCTCTAATAAGCTCTGAGTTGTTAGGCATAGGTATGAAGACTTTTTTCTATTATAATTTTTAATATGTTTTGTGATTTTCTACAAACGTTCTGTGTTTGATATTATTTTCAGTTCGACTTCTTAACTTTCCAGGAATATAGGTATATGCTATACGTACAACAACGTTGATAAACTTTAAGAAACTGTCTTTTGTTTATTAGCTTAATGCACATTTGTATTGGAATTGCTACAATAGTTTCTATTCGTTTTAATTAACAACAATGGAGGATGTTGCAAGTTACATTTTGAATGGGAAGGAAAATCACGGGTCTGTGAGATTTGATTGCGTATGGTTGGAATATGTACCGTTATGGAATCCTAGTATTAATGTATGTGTCGTTAGAAATGAAGGGAGTGAAAACAGAATGGTGTTTGTAGCAAGTTTGTGTATGAGAAAATGCAATGGGAATAAAGGCAATAGAGATGTATGTTTTCTGTGAAAAATATGTTAAGTATATGTTTATTTTTTTAAACAGTTTTCGTGAAGCGGTATTGTAATAGACATTTGTTGTCCTAGTATTTTTTTATTATATTTATAAGATTTTAATACTACTATGTTTCTTTTAAATTGTAAACAGTTATTTAACAAACATTCAAAAGGTTGGCTGGCAGGTAAGACAAATACCTAATGTAATAAGAAAATACATATAATAAATAGTCGTTGTTCATATTGTGTGCATCTACAAAAGCTCTTACATTTTAAGTGTATTTTGTGTACGTACGTTATTTCTATTGTTTTTTGTGTATTAAACAGGTATTTCTAGATAGATGTATGAATAAAATAAATAGCACCATACCAAAACTTATTTTATTTTCAAAATACCTTTGGAATTCGGTTGGCGCTGGGGCTGGGCAACCGGCTGGCAGTGTACAGTTTCGTGGTTTCGATTCCCTACAACTCTTTGTGTGATCCACAAATTGTTGTTTCAGTTCTGGGTGTGTATTTGAAATTGTATGATTGTAAACGCACCCACGACACTGGAGAAAATCATTAGGAAATCCTAGTCCTAACGATTGATGACAAAACATTGATTGGAAAAAATCACGAGGAAATCCTAGTCCTAACGATTGATGACAAAACATTGATTAATTTGTTAAGTATAAAAAACGTGACGAAGAACTTTTTAAATTTTTATACTTACTTTGGAACTTTCGCGTTTCATATTTGCAACATATAATTACGCGGGTATTAACGCGAAAAATAATTATTTAAATACCTTGGTAGGTTTGACGTTTCGATATGGAATTACTTACGTCGTGGTCGCTATGTGACAACGTCAAGCCAACTAAATGTTTATTATTTTTAATAGAAAAAAAAAATTCGCTCTTATATCCGCGTAATTGTATGTTTTCAATTTCTTATTAGAGAATTCTCCTAATTATCTGTCTCCTTGTTCGGAAGCAGAATTTGTTACTTTGCGCCATCAAATAATATTCATTTCTTTATTATTTTATCGTTTTGATATACTATTTGTTTTGTATTTTTTTTCAAGTTACCACCTCTGCTTTCCTAGATCATCCGAAATAAAATAGAAATCTTTAATATTATTACTAAACATTTCTATTTAATTTTAAACTTAATAAATTTACATCCGGTTTCCGAAAGCCCGATCAATGTTAAAATCAATTTAATCTCTTGTCCAGTCATCTGATTGGTTGACTGAATTATCAACAACCAATCAGATGACTTGACAAGAGATTTAACAGGAGATTAGTTAATTTTAGCGTTGACAAGCCTTTCAGAAACCGGGTGTAAGTGTGGAAAAGTCATACTTACATATGAATGGGTCGGCTTGACCGGTATACTACGGCTTCACAGAAAACACGGCGTGAAACAACTACAGCGTTGTGTTTCGCCGTGGTTTGTTCTGTATTCTGAGGAGTGAGGTTACCGGAGGCCTATTTTTTCCTCTCACCCAATCCCTTATCCCTAATCCCCAAAAAGTCGGCAAAGCACTCGTAACCCCTCTGTTGTTGCGGGTGTTCATGGGCGTCGCTGATTGCTTACCATCAGATAATCCGTAAGCTCCTTTGCCGAACAGTGACATTAAAAAAAATTTACTTAATGTGACTTTTTTCAGCAAAAAATAACTATGCTCTGTTACAAGCTATTAAATGATATATAGATTACTTAAATTGTAATAAAAAATAAATAGCAAAATAAACTTTTTTTACCAACTAACATTTTGTGTATTATTTGTAATGCTCGCACTTTTTTATACGAACCACTATTTTGGATATCTATCATATCATTATCATCCTCAGCAAAAAATAGATGATAATATACGTGTCATCGCGCTAATTGATTGCACTTAAATCCAATCTGGCAACGCACTTGGTGTTTACCATGTATAGGCACTAGGCATCGCCGATAGCTAAGATCAGTTGATCCGTCTCGTAAAAATTAAAAAACCTATGCCTGCACGATGACTATACTTCTTTGCCTTCTTTATAATCAGCGTCAGTAACATACTATACCAGCGGTCGCCAGCGGCTCCGCCAGTGTGGATGTCCATTTTACACATTTTCTAGATTTTTTTTAATTTAATCTATGTACAAACATTTGTCTGGACTCTCACAAATAATTCAAGACTAAAATTTGCTAAATCGGTAATGGCGTTGTTGAGTTAAAAACATTACAACGTTAAGTGGCATAGGTTTTTGTATTTATAGATATACGAAAAAAAAGGTGATTGATCCATGAACCAACTGGCTATATAAGTTCTGAGTTCTTTTTCATTTCATATGGTATGCTCAAAATTTTTCAGCAGTACACCAATTTATGTCTGAGTCTTGTGACATTTTCATATTTTCTAGGGTTGTTTTAAAGCGACCTTCTTATCCTTACCTGTAAATCTATGCGTGATCTTTTTCAGAACGAAGATCTGTGTAATGTTCATACATATTTATTTGCTGTGATTATTGAAAAGAGAATTGTGTTTTTACCTTTACACGGAATATAATATAGGGATGATGTTTAAATAAAAACACATTATTCATTATTGGTAATAAAGCTATTGGATTATCTACAAATAACGTTATCCTTATTGTTTGTCCATTGATGCTCTTTATTTAACTATTTATTTTTGACGTAAGAAGTTAGGAGGCGTATGAATCTAACCTATCCTTGTTAATTGACTTGTTGATATGTTCTTTTTAGAATTTATAAATGAGTTTTAGTCTAGGGCTTATTTTTCAATCGTCAGATAAATGTTTATCTGAGGAATAAAATTGTTGCTGTCACTCTCTTATACACACATTCTGACGCGACAGCATCAAATTATTCCCCGGGTAACTTTTATATAACCATTACAAAATGAGACCTTAAATAGAAGATAATTAAGTTCCTTCTATTTGCTCATAAATTTAATTCACATGAATTTTTAATTATTTTCTGTAATAAAATCGGTGTGGTAGGTATATTATATTATGTATACTTTGATTATTAAAATGTTCTCGCTTTACCATTTTTTATTTTAAGATGTGTATTTTTTAATTGTATTTTCGACTGTTCAACTCCAAAGTATATAACCTTATCTAATTATTACACTACACCAACTTCACACCAAATATTAATGGTATAATATTAAAATAGGTGTCACTGGTTCAGTTTGAGGTGGAAGCGTGAAACATGAATCGAAGACTCGAGTGAATATGGAGATGGTGATTATAAGAAAAAATTTACGGTTAGGGAATCGAGTTGACTACTCTCCAGCCGCCTCATTAAAAAACTAACAATTGCTTCGTTAGTCTTTTTTAAACTTTTCAATCGGCACTCGATGGTAAGCAATCGGCGCCGCACGTGAAGACCCTCAATACTTAAAGTTACAATTGCAGTAAACCTTGGAGTAAGGGATTTGAGATAAGCATTTGGTCGTTGAGAATGAAGAAAGTTGTCAATTTTGCGAAATACAAAGCTCTTTTTATTTCTGTGGTTGTGTCATCTCTGTTTTCTGTAAAATAGGGGATACTGAAAGCAAGTGAAGAAGAAATCGATTTTTCATCGTGGTTAAGGTGGGCGGTGGAATTAAGAAATGCGATCGGTAGCTCGGATGAATAAGAATGATAGAAGTTACGAGTTTCATTAAGCTGGAAGTGAAAATATTAACATATACATAAGTGTGGACACGATTTAATCTATATAATATAAAAATGAATCGAATAATGTGTTGGTAAGCGCATACAACTCAACAAAGTCTCAAGCAATTCTGCCAATTCTTTTTTTCAAATTAAATGTTAGAAAAGTAGAAGGAAGAATAGGAAAAAATTGACCCTTTCGTTGTTAGCGAGATAGTTGGACCCGTGCGAAGAACGGGCGGGCCGCAACGTTTAATAGCCTCGTGAAGCTATTTGCTCGTTCAAAAGTGTGAATTGTTATTGAGAAAATCGCACAAGAAACTCCAAATTCTTTTACAATCCAATAATTGCATTCCTAACATTTTTATTTTATATTTTATTTAAGACACTAACCTACATGTTGTTTTTTTCTTTACATAATAATGTAGCCACGTAGTGGTTGTTTTTATTGTTGAACATTGGAGGTTTGCATAATCCTCTCAAGATTTATCTGTATAGTGGCGATGATGATTCTATTATATTATATTGTTTCTACAATTAATACTAAAAGTTTATTCAGCTAAAAAGACAGGAAAAATAAAACAAAAACACACAAACAATTATAGGACCAAGTGCACAGAAACAAATTGTATATCAGCGCATACATGTCCAAAATGCGGCACTTGTTAATAAAATTGTTGCGACCACGTGCACTATCAAATCCACTCTATGCTTCTGTCACCAACAATTAGATGTCATAGACCTGTAA